CCTACATTGTTTTTAGTAGGGTGTATCAAGATACCATATATACTTGCTGAAATAAAGAAAACACAACTTATCAACTCCACTTGGTTACAACTTCGATGTGCTCGCCATTTTTTAGTATATGTTCATCAACATTCGGCATTTGGAATTCCTTTCCAACTTTCTATTCCAGAACACCTCCATGGAAAATTCCATTCCATTCAAAAGGGGGTCTGGAACGTTCCATAATTCCACTATAGAATTTAGAATTCCAAAATGGAATGCCACATGACTTATCGTAACTCTGTTTTAGTCCCTTGACTAACAGGAAGCTTAGAACAAGTCATGATGGATACTAATTAGGAGACTATCCATACCTAGGTTTACACTACGCTAGTATCTAATAGGCGTAACACGTAAGCTAGTAGCATGTGAGTAACGCAATGAATAACTGAACTAATTCACTTTTTATTTTTATTTTTCACTTTGAAAGCAAGCTCTTTTATTAGCCAGGAAGCTATATGTATTTCATTTGGAATTCAAAATTCCAGAGCCTTAATGCTTGGAATCATTCTGTTTCAAATTCAAGAGCCACTGGAATACTCCACCTTGGAATGGAATCTGGGAACCCTCGGAATCTTATTCCAAGTGCCGAACGTTAATGTGCATCGATGCGACATAAAGTATTAGACTCAAGAGAGAGAGAGCAAGGCGTCGTTATATTCATGTTTTATGATCGTTATGTATAGCCACCCTGATCAAATATCAGCTTTTTTATAGCTAACGAGTCCTACATTATCAAATAAGTCTTCTCTCCCATCAATTGAAGCGTCAATATAAGTCAGGTGGCAAGTTCTGCGCTATTAATTGCACGATAAAGCAAGTCATGAGATTGGTTCCATTACCGAAGATATTCTGTATGGTCTAAAGACGAGTCGTCGAGGTTGTGAGGTTTTGTAATACGGTTTCGTTTTTGTAAATCCATTTTCTTGGGAAGGGGTGAGGGATATAGGTATTGATCTTTGGGGTTTTGGCTTCTTGGATTATCTAGCATATTGAGGGACAGGTTCATAGCTTTGTAAAGATGAATTGGGAGTAGGAGTGGCAAGTTATCCAAGACATGTCTTCGCTTTTTGTGAGGGAATATGAGAGGTTGAAAGTCAGTAATTCCATCGAGGCAGAATCGTCAAGTCAAAATCCCACCACATGATAGCAAGCTATTGCAGTGTAGAAGCTTATTTATATCCTTGTAACCCTTGGATGTCACCGTTACCACCACCCAGAAAATCCACCAGTCAATACCCCTCTTAACCTCCCCCTCCCCATCCCCATCCCCATATCCATCCACCACCCACAAACCCCCAAACCCACTGTTGCGATATATTCACGTGGTTATTCACGTGATATTCCGGGCTATATATACGCCCGGATTCCACGTAGCAAACACACAATCAATCATATACTACTACTACTTTTGTACTCGTTATCGTCTACTCTTGCTACTGTTTTTGTACCCTTATTATCCCACCAAGTTATACCAACACCCACCCTCAAATCAAACATACCCCCAAACACTCTCTTTCCGAAAATCTCACACCAAACCTAGGATTAGCCAAAGTAATTAGGCACCGGTGTGGGCCCCGAGTGATATCGAATCCGCATACTCACGATTAATCTTTCAAAGTCCCTGCCATCCCCTATCCGTGGGATTTCTATGTTCTATGGGCCTAGCACTTGCTCCTTGAGATAACGGGGTTGAAGGTACGGCTTTGAGTTTTGTTGTTTTGGGGGTTTTTGGGTTTTTTTGGGGGGGAGGAAAAAGGGCCTGGGGGAGGGGGCAGGGATAGGGAGGGAAGGTAAGGGTTGGGAAGAGAGGGTGAAGTTGTGGGTTTGTTTATATCTGAGCGACAAACCTCTCGTCACGCAAAGAATACACCCCGTTAACCCAACTTCTAAATCTTCCACCACCCACCCAGCACACCCAATCCTTAACATGACAAACCCTCAAGCTCAAACATACCTACTACTAACCCCCAACTCGCACTTCGACATACCATCGGTATCAGCAAAGACCATACAATCCGACGACGACTATCACACGGCCTAAGTGAATGATCTAAGAAGAGCACACAGTATCTACGTCATATCCTCTATAGAATTTCTCGCGAGTGATGATGCGAGAGGAACTTGAGGAGATTGGTTTGATGCCGGGATTTGGGGAGAGGAGAGGTGCTGGTGAGGAAGGAAGGAAGGGGAGAGGGAGGAGGTGAAGTGGGAGAAGCAGCAGGAGGAAGAAGGAGAGAAGGTTGAGAGAGATGTCGTGAGATGGAAAGTACAATGTGATCTGTCTAAAGCGAATGGACTGAGCTGGAAGATAAGAAGAAGTCGATAGTCTATACTCCGGGTACAGAAGAAGACTAGGCGTCGAGGAAGAGAGTTCTACCAGATATCTTAGATTCACATAAAGATGACCAACAGAAGAAGAACCACCGTTCATCTAAAAGTATGACGTCTGCGAATTCAGAAAAGAAAACTACAATATATCCTTCACACCTTCAAAGAGCAAACGTCAAAGATCCGAAGAATTAAAACATCTGTTTGGTCTGCGTTCCTTGTCGAAAAGTCCTTCAGAAGTATAAGAAATGTCATCTAGGATCACAGTATCCTGGGATGACAAGGACGCACTAAACGATCGTTATACGCATGTGAGAGGCCAGACCTCGAATAGCTCAAAGGTGTGGTTTCGAATATTCAATTAAGAAGTGCGTGAAGACTATATACATGCGACCTCTTCCTCTATATATAGAGAGGAAGAGCTTCCTGAATATTCCAAGAAACTTGCAAGAAACTTGAATGACGAATACATGATGTCAGAAGAACAAAACAAGAAAGTGTGGAAAAGTAGAAACCTGTTTGGCAGTGGGGTAATGGCCAGTGCTAAGCAGGGACTTTGGTCAGTGCTTAACGAGGACTTTGGTCAGTGCTTAGCGAGGGCATGGCCCGAGCCTCCATCATGGGTTCCAACCCTCACAACGCACCACCAGAAGGCTACTGTATGTGCGAGGCTTGCAAGGACCGCTTCACACCTGAGCCGACAATACGTCATCCGTAGATTGGAATCCCAAAGTTTTTTGACTGGTGTGTGTAGAATGTCAAAAGGAGCAAACGGAGGATACATAATTGTGGTTTTGACTGAGGATACGCTGAAGCATAGCTACTGGAGGGAAGTAAGTGGGATAGTGAGGGTAATATGGTATGGTTTTGTAATGAGCACTGGGTACTGTATGAGGATTTGTGTTGAATGTAGGTGAGGTGTTTTGGAAGGGATAGGATAATGGGTAAGGGGATCTTTAAGGGGGATTATAGGGTTCGTTGCCATGACGGGAGTGTCTTGACTTTTGGGTAGAGTTATTAGTTGAATTTTAGAACAGTTTATAATAAGTAATATTAGTAGTAGGGTTAAGTAGTAGAGTAAGATATAGGACTAAGCGAAGAGAACTCTAAATAGAGTTAACTTATAGTTATTTCGTATTAATAAAATTTCGTACTATCTTATAAATCTGTAATCCTTAACTTAATACTTTATTACTATTAACTTAAAATAGAGTATTTATATTCCCTATAAGTTATATACTTTACTATAACCCTAGTTATAACTTATTTGTGACGACACGTACGATATGTTGCTCAAGGAGCGTCCAAGGTGTAGGTTATGGAATCGTAGAACTGTCTATTCGAAGATTCTAAGCTAAGGAGAGAAGAGAAGAGAGCAGAGCTCGGGAGCCAGAGGTTCTTATATACAGGGGATTGTGCCAAGCTATGGCTAACTGAGCCGGGCTCAGGAAGCACGGTATCCGCTGGGTTCCAGCCAGGGGCTGGTCTGAGATGTAGTGGCGGTTAGAACCGTCACATTATTATTTTAAACTATTAAATTTATAAGTATAAATTCTAATATAATACTTTATATAATCGACGTTTTATTATATAAAGAGCTACTATACGAATATATAGTTTATAAAGTACTATATTATAAACCGCGAATTTATATATATTAATTCGTAGGTTTAAATATTAAAGAAATCTATTATTGTTTATTATATACTAAGACTATAAAAGAGTTTTCTCTCTAGTTCTCGACTTTAATAAAATTCTATAAATAGGTATAACTTATTACTTTTTATAATCTAAATAAAATAAATAGACTTTAAAGACGTTACTAGCGAAGAAATCTACTTATTCTACTTTTACTACCTAGGTACTAAAGAACTTCTACTATAGTATAAAGATAAAGAAAGCTCTTCTTTTATTAGAAGGCTTTACAAAAGCTTACTTACCAAACTTACTTAAAACGTTTCAATCCAAAGATAATAGTAACCCCGTAGATTAGTATAGTGAGTTACTTTATCAAGAAATCAAAGAGCAGATCTTTAGCTAGCTATATCCTACGGGTAGATAAAATGTCGAGTTCTTCTTGCTATAGCAGGGGGCAGGGCAAGAGATGAACAAGAGAAAACAAACGAAACAAACGAAACAAACGAAACAAACGAAACAAACGAAACAAACAAGCAGGTTTCCAGGGTCCCTTCGTTTGCGCGTACAGCATGTACCCCTGCCTGTACATAGCAACAGGCTGACAGGCAAACAAGCTAAGGGCAAAGGGAGCGTGACCGACGCGTCTACAAAGGCGACGGGTATTCTTGAAGGACATGTAGCTATATCAGCAATCTGCAACCTGCAACCTGCTACACAGCACGACAGAGAGATAGCGAGATAGCTAAGTCGGTACGTGCTCAGAGTCATTTTTTAAAAGAAGATATCACTGACTGACAAGTAAGACTTAGAGGATATTGCGAACTCACCTTGCATACAGCACAGTAGCAAGAAGCCTCACATCTATCGCCATCAAATCGGAGACACGTTCAGAAAATCGCAGACACGTCCACACACCACACATCGGCTGTCAACCAACGTCATAATCCGATCTGAGCAGATGCGTCTGTAAGCGACTTCAAATACCATCAAAAATGCGTTTCGCGCCCTACAACCCGTCACCCTACTCCGCGAAAACTATCACGCACGCCCTCCTCACACCTGCCATCACTGGCACCGACGCGCGCAACCAACTACACCCCCAAAAGAAAAAGGTTCCGCCCAAACACCGCTTTGAGAAATGCGCTCTCTTCGTTCCGCCAAAGGATACGAAGGGGCCAGGGTGTATCTTCTCGCCTGCGCAACCAGAGGGGGTACCTGGTCCGAGGTTTGTGAGGGGCGTGAGGGATAATCAGATTTTGATCTTTGCTGCTGGGTATTGTCCTGAGAAGAAGGGAGGGGAAAGAGGGGAGGGAGGAGGGGAGGGAGGAGGAGGAGCAGGGTGTGCATTTACTTTCCGACCTCCAGGATGGAGTAGGAAGGATGTCTTTCATGACGGTACCGTGGCTTTTCGTCTCGAGACTCGTGGTCCTCCGACACCTACATCGAGAGCCTCGGCGGCGGATCTTCATACGAATGAGCGTGCGGAACTACGTGCTGTTATTGCGGCGTTTCAGTTCAGACGCTGGGATGTGGAAGGTTGGGAGAGCGTGGTGGTTGCGACGGACTCGGAGTATGTGGTTAGTGGAGCGACGGAGAAGGTGTGGAGGTGGAGAGAGAAGAAGTGGAGGACTGTGAGGAAGAAGGCGGTTTTGAATCGGGACCTTTGGGAGGTGTTGATCAAGGTGATTGAGCAGATTGGACGGAATGGGTTGGAAGTCTTGTTTTGGAAGATCAAGAAGGAGGATAATGTTGCGAGTGGGGGAGCGAGAGATGCGAGTGCGTTGAAGGAGGTTGATGGGGAGTTTACGGAGTATCGTGGGATTGAGATGTAGATATGATGGTGTTTTGCTGGCTGGTAGTTAGCTATGATGTTTTCTCGGTGGGTTAACGTTATGATGTTTTCTCGGTTAAGGCGATGGTAATAAGGGGTGGCGGGTGGCTGGCTGGGCGCGGGGCATGGGTGAGGGGGCATCCATGAAGGGGTGTAAGCTTATAACGGTTGTACATGGAAATTGTATTTGTACTACAATGTCGGTTTGTAGGAGGTACTCGAGTAAATACCAATGCAACCCCTTTTCCCAGCCAGTTGAAGAAAGTGATGTGGTGTGACAACTCGTTACACTGCGCTGGCCATATACGGAGTATTTATACCATTTCAGGCGCTCCAAAGCAGACCCATACACACAAGACATTTGGGAGACATTTCCAAAACACCAATTATCGATGATCCAAACCTGCAATCGGTGAGCTCTGAGGTTCAAATGACCCATTCCGACGATTGCGAATATGCAGTATTACCTGGAGGTAGTACATATACTCTTGCTGTGCATATTTGGTGCGAGTATCGATGAAGTTGGTGTTCACACTTCAAGATGAAATTGGAAGGAACAACCATGATCCGTCAAGGCGTATTTGAGCGCAGCGCACTCGTTTCGCAAACGGGCGGGGCCTAAATAGAGTATCCTACGCTATTACCCCTCCCGCTGCGCTTATCGCCCCCTTACAGTGACGAGTTTTGGTGGGAGAACCCTGGAGGATCGAGGCCTGTGAGAGCTTGGGGGCCAGGGGTATCACCAGCCATCGAATGCAATGTACTCGTATACGTACATACGTACAGTATATACATCCACACATAGCACCCTACAGCAACCTACTTCCCTCGATCTATGACTTATATTGGGCTTCAAAAGATTGTTTGCCCAATCTGCCCAACCCCTCTCGCGACCTATCATCCCATAGCCCGAATCGCCTCATCGTTCGTCGGCGTTTGTTCAACGTCGGATTCGCCTTACCTGCAATTACTATAGGCCTGCATCATGCAGTGGCTGCCCTGAGAGTTGCCAATCAAAGTCAGCAGCTGAGGGACGGGACCTGCGAACCACGCCCTATCCCATACGAACAGATGTTCCTCAATATATCGCTCTCCCTCCCTCTCAGAAGTGCAAGCAATTTCACTGCCCAACCTCTTCCATCTTGGTGGCGTGAGAAGGTCGGCAATGGCACATTCGGATGGTGGCAGAAGAAGAGTTACGCGCCGACACAGTTACAGCGATTGGGACGATGGACCACCAACGAAATCCAGCGGCAAGGAGAGGGTCACATTGGAACGAGAGATCCCTGGAGTGCGGAGAGTGAGGGTAGAAAGACAGGATGCCGACGAGGACATCCATCGACGCGCATCGCATTCGAAAATGAACTCCGAGTCCTATGCGACACTACCAAGCCAGAAGAGTACGAGCCGTAGAAGGAGGAGACATCATCATGAAAGTCCAGAGGATGGGCATCGTCGCAGACGGAGGGATTCCAATTCGAGGGGCGAGTCGCCAGCATCATTTCATGATGGCAGACCTTCGAATAGATCACGACATTCGAGAACAACACCACCCGAGACAAAGAAACACGATTCGGAATCCGAGACTAGCGAGTCGGAAAAGGAGATTGTGGTGATGTCGAGGAAGTCCGAGTCGATCAAAGACCCACCAAAAGTGCACAAAATCAGGATTGTTCGTGTCTCGGAAGAAGAGTATAGGGCTGCGAAGACCAAGGAGCACATACTTAAGAGTGACAGGAAGTCGAAGGTCAAGGAAGTTAAGAAGGAGGATGAAACTTTACGAAGGTCTCGGTCACATCGTCCCAGGCGGGCGTCTGAAGGAGTAGTTTCGTCATCACCTAGAAGGTAAATATTGCGATATGCATGTGGGAAAGTAGAAGCTAACATAAGTGACTTAGGACGACATCTACTCGAGAAGTGACAGTGAAAGCGGCTCCTGCTCTCAAGAGAAGTCATACAACAAGCTCGCATGTACCTTCCACCAAGCATGCACCATCTTTGGGGACTACATCTACACATGCAACAAATCGAAGGTCAACAGGGCTTTTGAGTACCTTTTTTGCTCCAGTAGTTCAACAGCGCCACGAACCTGAGCGATTGTAAGATTATCGTAATATAATTCTCATGAGACTTGCTGACAGCATTCAGGGTTGAATGTTTGACCTGTCTATCTGGTGATATTCCAAGATCTAAATCTGCAAAGTTAAAATGTGGTCACCGAATGTGCCATTCTTGCTTGAAACGTATATTCAAATTATCAGTTACTGATCCCCAACACATGCCACCAAAATGTTGTACCGCAGATTTCATACCTCTCAAACATGTTGACAGACTATTTAACAATGATTTCAAACGGAACTGGAATCGCAAGTTTCAAGAATATTCCACCAAGAATCGCATTTACTGCCCACAGCGACGATGTGGCGAGTGGATCAAACCTGGAAATATCCATAAAGAAGATGGGAAGAAGCTTGGAAAGTGTAGTCGTTGCAAGACCAAGGTTTGTTGTTTATGCAATGGGAAATGGCACGGTTCTCGGGATTGTCCAAAAGATGAAGAGACCAACAAACTTTTGGCGGCGGCTAAGGATGCTGGCTGGCAACGGTGTTATAGTTGTCGAACCATGGTCGAGCTGAAGGAGGGTTGCAACCATATGACTTGGTAAGTCTTCATAGAGCCAGATCTTTGGAACCGACTAACAACTAGCAGTCGCTGTACAGCCGAGTTTTGTATGTGCTGTGGCCTCAAATGGAAAACTTGCAACTGTCCCTGGTTCAACTACGAGGCCGTAGAAGAGGATCGCCTGAATCATATGCAAGTTCCCCAAGAGATACACATAAACCAAAATGACCCTCCACCACCACCACCCCCCGATCGTCCTCCCATTCGTGATCGCCTCCGTCGTCCTCGTCCCAATACATACTATGATGAAATCAACGAGCGTCAACGACAAGAACGCGAAGATGAAGCACTCGCCCGTCGGCTCCAGAACTTCAACGTCGATGAACACGATGATGACTACCAAGGTGGTATCGGTGATATTCATGGTATTGGAAATGCAGCAGGTCATTTCATGAATGATAATTACGTAAGGGTAGCACATAATCTTTTCACTGGAACATTAGAGCAAGCCTCTGCAGCGGCGAATTATGTGCTGGGTGTTCGACAAGCGAGAGGAGGACCGCCACCACCACCGTCTGGAGTACCGAGGAGGAGAATGTCGGATAGATATCCTGCCGTTCCTCCGCCTGCACCTGTCCCTCCGGTTCAAAATCAGACCCAGAATGTTCCTCCCGCTACTGCACCGCCGGTATTAAGACGTCACACTCTCACGGAACGAAGATACAATACCGCTGCATCGACAAGACCCTCCGAACGCGTGGTTCCTCGGCGCGAACGCACGGATTATGAGGCCGAAGCGGCGGTGCATATGCCCCTACCGTACACAAGGAGGATGGAGAGGAAGGTCAGCACCAGGGGCGTCTCGAGGGTGATTCCTGAGAGGACGTCTGCGCCTAGGACGCCTGAGAGGGAGGCGAGACAGAGTGAGAGGAGTGAGAGGAGTCCGAAGACGAGTGTGCTTGCAGGATTGGGTAGTGGGAGGGGGAATAATCGGGTGCAGGCTTGGAGGAATCATGTGAGTCCTGGGTTGGAGGTTGAGGAGGGGGTTTTGGGGGGGATCTTTGATTGAGTGAGTGAGTGGGTTTTTTTATTGGGGGGGGTTGGAAGGGGGAGGTGGTTTGGGTTGGTATTGGATTTGGATTTGGATTTGATGGGATTGGTATTTAATTGGATGCTTGCGTATACCCAGGACGAGTTCTTTTCTACTTGTTTTCTCCATGGGATTTGGATGGAATCTTTGGGAGGGAGAGAAGGCAGGGAAGGAAGGAAAGGGTGATCTTGGATTTTGGAATTTCTTGTGGTAGGGATTTGAAAGGGATGGGATGGCTTGTAGATGTACTATACGAATGTTAGGTAATGTGATATGATAATATCCTGTTCCAATAAACTTTCTAATATTCTCGGTATAAGACAGTACATAATCCTTCAATTCCCCTCTTCCCCTCCCTCTCACCTCCCCCTAAATCCCTAAACTAGACATCTCTAAGACTCTAACCTACCTCATTCAATCTTCCTTATAGTCTTATTCGAGTATACATAATACAAATCATTAATACGAGTAAAGAAGGAGTAGGTTCTTGCGTGACGTCTAGATAGATAGATAGATAGATAGTAGACAATAGAGATGGAGATGGGGGATTGGGGGTTAGTTCTCTGGTAGGTGGGTTAGTGGATGGGTTGGTGGGTGGGAAGGTGGGAGGTAGGTTGTTAGTAAGAGGGGGGGAAAGGAAGAGGGGGATTATGGTGAATGTGAATGAGTGGAGGAAGGAAGGAGTGGGCGTGAATGAGTGAGTGTAAATAATTAAGTGTAAATAAGTAAGTAAAGAGTGAGTAGTATATAAAGAGTAAGTAGTATATATATAAAGAGGATAGAGGAACAGATGTGGACTATCTTAGAGGGCTAAAGATCTAGACTTTTAGAAGATGAGAGGCTTCGGAACCTCTGGATTTAATAGACTAGGGTCTGGAATATTATACTTTTACTAGCTCTATACTTTACTAGTATTTATATACTTATATTCAATTTTATAGGTTAAAGAGTATAATTAGGAAAGTACTTAACTTATACCAAAACGAGTATTATCGTTAGTTATTTCGTATGGTAGTTCTTTCTTTCTTCCTTTCGCTACGGAGTAAGGGAGGTACTATACCGGTACCTATATACTTACATCTACTCTTGTAGGTCTAAGAGTATAATTAGGAAAGTACTAGAAGGAAATCGAGTATTATCGTTAGTTATTTCGTATAGTAGTTCTTGCTTTCTCTCTTCCTTTCGCTACGGAGTAAGGGAGGTACTATAGAAGTACGAATACGAGCTATAGTTCGTCAGGACTCAGGTCTCATGTTCCAGAATTAAGTTTGTGACAGCAAAACACCTTGATCATAAGACGGTAGGAGCTTGAATTGCGAATTCACTTCGTACTTCGAAGTCTTGCACCCCCCTCCCCTTCCAGAAAGTCGGGAAAAAATCTTCAAAGATCCCCTTTCTTTCCTTCCAGAAGGGTTCCTCGAGTGCCCTTACCGGGTTCCATCCCCCTTACTCAGGATCCACTATCATCTCGTATCTCGAGATCGGTAATATTCGACGAAATCAATACCTGCGGAGGTACAGTGGAAGCTCGCGAAATTTGTTGAGGGAGGGGAGATAGGAGATAGATACCGGGATTGGGTATAGGTATGAGGGTTTGGGGATGAGAAGAGGAGGAGTTTGTTGGTTTGTAGATCTATGGATTGGTTGGATGGGAATCGGTGTTTTCGTACTGGTAGTGGATAGAAGTCTGTATTCTTTTATTCCAAGGGATGTTCTAGGTATGGTATTGCGATGTTGTGAATGACCGGTACGGAGTATCATGTACTATTTTCTTTTCCCGAAGCGATATTCAGGGCACTTGGGCAAAGGGGTTATTCTGAAATTGTAGAAGTGCTGAGAGTAATGATCGGACTTTCCTAGATCATTAAAGGAAGTACTCCGTAGATGAGCGAAAATTTCGAAGCCTCTTATTTAATTCTAGAAGATTGAATAACGGAGATCTTCTCTCTTCTCTATCGCAAACCCTCATGGTGATCATTGCTTGATATCTCGGAGTTTTAGCGGAACGAGGTTGTGGCGGTGTGCTCAGACCTCAGCCACGGATGACGATGAGGGAGAGGTTCACTGCACGTCCACGGGTGAAGGTGCAGGTGCAGGTGTGCAGGTGCAGGTGGGTTTCGTTTCCAAAATGAAGCGATGAAATCAATCGCAATCCAAATCCCTTGAAGTGCGCCTGTGCCAGCCAGCATTACCTTCAAACCATGTCAATACAGATGACGAAAACCCCATAATAGTCTTACGAAGCTTCTCCTTACATTCACTTAAACTCTTCCCTTCTCTCCCACCATGATCTTATGACCCCTCCCTCAGCCGACCTTTCCGCCCGGTATCCAACATAAATAAAGCCGGCTGATAGTCAACATACCCGCGGACCCAAGACGAGATGTTGCTCATTTACCAGACGGGAAGTGTTAAGATAGGAGAGGTGATTAGATACACCGTCACCTACACTCCCGCTCACGATCGAATCCTACCTTCTCCCACGCATCTCTTTCTCCGAATCAAGAATACTTCTGCCATAGCTCTCAGAGCCGCCTTTGTCCATGGTCCATATACGCTCTACACCTCCGCCTACCCCGCGACCTTCAACCCGAACGAGAAATTCGAGAACCCGCGTAGGTATGGCGTCCCAGAGTTCGAGCCAAATCTCAAGGCGGGCGGGACGTTCAGCACCCAACTCGCGGTTCCCGACCACGTTCGCGAGTCGGCGGGGAGCGCAGATAGACACGGGAAGGACGTGGAAGGGGAAGAGGCTCAGAGCGTGAGTTGGATTGTGGAGGTCTCGAGTCAGGTCATCTTTTCGACGTCTGCGGCAGTCCATTATGAGGTGTTGATTGGGAGAGACGAGAAGAGCCTTAACTTGGGCTTCTCGAATCCGTTAACGGGGGGAAATGCGCCTACACCTGGTCAAGTGAGTGATCACCAGCAAAGCCAGGGTGCGAAAGATGGCCATCATGCGGCGCAACCAAAGGGGATTTACTCAAAAGCTGTTAAGCTGCGGGTGGATGATACGGCGAGTCTATGGAATACACCCCCTATGCCAGAATGGCCTCGCCCCTCGAAAGATGCGGCGAAGCAGAAGAGCAAAGATGCGCCCGTGGAGAAAGCGAGAGATGGACCGGATGATGCGGCGGATACACATAGGTTTAAGAGGCAGAAAAAGATTCATTTGGTTATCTTGACGCATGGGTTACATGGAAATCTGGGAGCGGATATGCTGTACATGAAAGAAAGCATAGATGCCACCGCTAGGCAGGGGAAAATCGACGCCAAAGCAAGGCGCGCAAAAAGAAGAGAGGAACGTCGGAAAGCAGAAGAAAGTCTTGCGAATGACAAAAGCCCTGAAGGAGAAAGCTCTACAGGAGGAAGGCTACCTAGCGAAAACAAAGACGACGATTCTGATGAAGAGGAAGAGGAGATAGTTGTCCGAGGCTTTTCTGGGAATGCTACTCGAACAGAAAGAGGGATAAAGTATCTTGGGAAGCGGCTTGCAAAATATGTATTAGCTATGACATATCCCGATCAACCTTTTCGACCAATCTCGAAGAAAACAGCAGCTGAGGCCATTTCCCATGCAGCAAGGCCCACTTCTTCACATACAGCAAACGCAGGAGGGAAAGGTCCTCCGACTCACAATCATAGCACCATTCATAAAGCTCCCGATACCAATCCACAATCGGCATATGTGATCACAAGTATAAGCTTTATAGCTCATTCTCTTGGTGGTCTAGTACAAACGTATGCTGTGGCATATATTCAAAAGCATTCGCCCGAGTTCTTCGATAAGATCAAACCTATAAACTTCGTTGCTTTAGCTTCGCCATTTTTAGGTTTGAGTAATGAAAACCCTCTATATGTCAAGTTCGCCCTTGATTTTGGGTTGGTTGGACGTACCGGCCAGGATCTTGGTCTGACTTGGCGAGCTCCTACTATTGCCCGCAGTGGATGGGGTGCGATTGTCGGTGGGATCGGAGAGAATGCGCAAAAGCTTGAAGGTCAAAATCCACCAGAGTCGAAACCACTTCTTAGAATTCTGCCTACTGGACCGGCGCATACGGTGTTGAAAAAGTTTAAGAACCGAACAGTTTACTCTAATGTGGTTAATGATGGAATTGTCCCGCTGCGCACAAGCTGTTTGTTGTTCCTGGATTGGCAAGGTCTTGGTCGTGTAGAGAAAGCTCGACGAGAAAATGGTCTTGTTGGTACAGTTGCGGGATGGGGTTGGGCTGAGCTCACGGGCCAAAACACTGTCTCGCCAATGGCTCGTACCTTCTCAGAAGCTTACGATAACAAGAACAACAACGATGGTAATTCTTCCGGAAATGTTACTCCAACGTTTCCGGGTCATGGGGATGAAGTTCCACAACCGCCTCCTTATGCTACGCAAGATGACAACAGGAGCGTGAGAGCTTCTTTTGCACGCGATCGTTCAGAATCATTCAGATCCACAAGCAGCAATGGTGATACACCTCAAGCTCAATCCCAAACTGATGGCCCATTCTCTAGCTTTGTTAAATTCTTCCAACCAAGCAGCGCGCTAAAAACAACAACCCCATCCAAACACAGCAAAATCTATCATCGAAGTCAAACTTTGAAAATAGATAGTAGCTCTGCACCCACCATTATGCATACTCCATCATCCCCTCGTAGGCCTGCATCTGCTCCTAGGAAACACGGAAAAGCTACTGCCGGCCATTCAGACGACGAAGATCATATGCGAGTTTCCGCACCACCCAAAACAACATTTTTTGAAGCTGCTGGAGATATTCTAAAACCCCCTCTCCCTTCAGCAGAATACATGATCAATCCCGAGTCAAGACCTCGCGCTATATTCCACGATCGTATCTACCATCCTTCCGATATCCCTCCGCCACCTCTCAAGAAGCGACCTACCAACGGCAGCTTACTGACAAGACGATCCACGTCGAATCCAGGAAGTCCCGGAATCAATCGAGCATTTAGTGGCTTCTCGACCGCATCTTCAACCCACGACTACGATGATACCAAGAACACAAATCCCGATAAAGATCCTCACGATGTGATAGATGCTTCCGCGATGAAGGTTGAAGAAAAGATTGCCCGTGCTTACCATCGTGATCTCTCGTGGCGCAAAGTGCTTGTTAGTTTGGAACCGGATGCGCATAACAATATGATTGTGAGACGGATGTTTGCCAATGCCTATGGCTGGCCTGTCGTTAAACATCTTTGCGAGACGCACTTTAGCGATGCGGCGGTTGCTAATGTTCCTGATGCGCAAGAGTCGAATGAGCAGCGTGCGAAAGGAGAGGGTGAGCGACCAGATGCTGAGGGCAATGAGGTGAAAGGGATTGACAAACCTTCCAAATTGGATCGAACGGAATCCGAGAACCGAGAGGCGACAGATCATGTTCCTTCCCTCTTAAACTCCCCAAAACCTACCTTCATCAGTCGCTGCGGCAATGAGAGCGAAGGGTGGGGTGAGAGGGAGTGGATGGATTCTGCCGACGAGAGCGACGATTTCGAAGACTCCATCTTTGGCGGCCCAGGCAGTCCTACGAAAGGGAAGTTGAGCCCTCGAGAGAAGACCCGCTCGAGTAGTAGTCATGGGGGCACCGGGTGGGTAACGGGAGGTGCAGGGTGGAATTGGACGGAAGCTATTGCGGGCAAGGGGGCTAGTGCTAGAGCGGGGAGTCCGAGGGGCACGAGTGGGAGGGAGGTGGATGCTTTTCTGGGGAAGGGCAGAGTTGGATCGGGAGAGGGGGAGAGGAAGGGGAGTTTGAGTCCGCTTGCAACTGAGGGTAGGGGGAGGGTTGGATCGGGAGATGGGGAGAGGAAGGGGAGTTTGAGTCCGCTTGCAACTGAGGTTAAGGGATTGGGGATTTCGACTCCGAGGGGTAGTGTTGGTGGTGGTGGTGGTAGTGCTGTCGAAGCTGAGGGACTGGGTGCTTCGAGTTCGGAGGTGGTGGTTGGTGACGGGGGGAAAGGGAAGGGGAGGGGCTAGCTTTGGCTTGGTCTCTTCTGGGGATTTGGCTTGGGATGGTTGGTTTGGCTGGGTGGGTGAATGGTTGGAGTAGAGTTGGATGGATAGTACATAGATGGTTATAGGTATACATAGTTTCTCTTTTTTTTTTTCGGTGTGTTCTTTTTGGATACTGTATGGATACACAGAGGGAAGAGGGGAGGGGGGTAGGTAAATAGCGTGGTTGAAAATATGAATGAGGGTTCTATGGATTATACAGCTGTATGGAAGGTTCGTGGGGAGGTAGTTGGAGTTGAAGATACCTGCAAATCATGGCAGGTGTGGTGGGTGATTTGCTATACAGTTCTTTTCCTGGCAATTCTTGGGGTTTGAATCAGTACGCACGGGTGTTTGGGAGTCTATGTACAACAACTGTCATTTTGGAAGATAGCGGGCCGGGGTAGATACATGGTTCTAAGTGCGAAAGCTGGATATTCATATTTCATCTCTCATATTCTCAACATTACATGAAACTCTTCTCTCCCTCCTTCTGCGTACAGTACAGTACAGTAAGAGAACATAAATCTTTCTTCTTATCATCCCAGCACCAGCAAGGAGGAAAATAAGCAAGGGCGTCAAGTCAGTCAAGTCAGTCGATCATTGCAGAGAAACTGCAACCAACCCCAGGTGACACATACGCCTTTTCCAAAAAGGAAGTTGGACATCAAAAAACACAACCGCACTTGCTACTGTAATTGGTGCGTATTAATCATTTCCTGCTCAGGGTCTTGATTGGACAGGAATTGGAAAGTGGGGATTCGAGGGGGATACAGTCTTTTGCGTTTTATTGGTGGGTGTGGGGATTTGGGAGCGCTTTTTGGCATGTTGCGGATTGCTTCCTCCGTTTTTACGAAACTGGCAAGCAAGCAAGCAGGAATGTGATGGACGATGCAGGTAGGGTGTTTGGTGTTGTGGGTTAACTGACAGATTATGGGTCCTGGGTATGTGCGGAGAATTGTTTATTGTCATGTCAATTCTCCGTCTGCGTACTGTGCAGGAGGTTGGGTTGGTGATATTCTCCACACTGTGGTGGTTGTGATTACACGGCATTAGGTACCCNGTGCGGAGAATTGTTTATTGTCATGTCAATTCTCCGTCTGCGTACTGTGCAGGAGGTTGGGTTGGTGATATTCTCCACACTGTGGTGGTTGTGATTACACGGCATTAGGTACCCCAGATCTTGGGGGTGGGTTCTGGGTTGGGTCGGGTTGGGTGGGATTGCGGGGTAGCGAGATGACCACAGACGAGGGATTTGAGGTGTGGTGTATATGTTCTGTGTCAAGTTACGACGTACCATTTGAGAAAACGTAGAAACCAGAAGATGTAGAATTTTGCTTCAATGCTTTGAAAGAGAATTGGGGGACGTTAGTTGCTCAACTGGTGATGATGTGTTGAATTCCATTCTACTCATTCGTATTGGTTATTTGGCAATTGCGCTGTAAACGTTATCCTCCATGATCTGTCAAACCAGTACAGACAATATGGGTGTCTTGTGAACAGTCACTTCGTCTTTCTCATCGTTATTGACGGATTGGGAAAGAGGCTGTTTGGTGACAAGGAGGTTTGGGTGGACGGAATGGAATGGAAATGGAGATGGGGGGTTTTTTTGGAGATTGCTTGCTGGCTGTTCCCAAGGGAAGTGGTACTCGGGAAATTTGGTTTCCATGCATGGTAAGATACTTGAGTACATTTACTTTCTCTCTCTCGTTGTTTCTGGGAATTTCTTGAATGTTAGAGGACTTTTGTTGAAATGGGTGTGAGGATGAGTTTCTGTTCAACTTTCACTTTCTATGCGTTTTGTTTGTGTTTATTTTGTGTTTATTTTGTTTTCGTGACATCCACGTCTTTACTCGCCTATCATGACTTTCCCAGAAGATGCGCTTCAAGTATACCACGTACTGCCTAAGTTGTTGTTTATCAAGTGAGCCTCACAACCTGCCGCATTCATAGCACCCCGATCTTGGTACAGTCTTGGCTACATGATATATCTTGGAGTCATATGCGTTGTGATCTCACAGGAAAACACGATTCAACCGGTTGAAACCACCAGATCACCTACATAAATCACTCTATATCTCTTGGCTTTTGCTTCTGGTTTGTTGGTATGGATGTCTGCGGAGCCTCTCTCCGGAAATTCAATTCCCATCTTGACACAGGATGTGATCAAGATTAGGTAACAAGTACGGACGGCAAAACAGTTCGATTCAAGAGCAAGAAGAGACATTTGAGGAGGGGGACTTGTAAACCGATAGGCGCAAGAATTCGAATTTCGTCCTGGAGATGGAGACACCTGGTGTTGTTTGTGGAATTGCTATTCTCCGTATTGCTTGATTATATACCTCCCGTTGATCTTCTCAAAGATGATCTCGTACTCTCCTCATCACTTCAAGCCACCTCTTCTGTCTTAAAATACCGTTGCTAGTTTTAGTCCAATCAAGATGCTTTCTTACCTCGCTCTCGCCCTCGTGGCGCTCTTGCCATCCGCACTCGCTTGCAATGGCTACACAGGGGGCCTCCCAAAAGCCACGTCCACCAAAAGCAACAGCAAAGTCATCGAAATCAAATCTGGTCAAACCTTTGACGGAGGATGGGCCAAGTACGATCGCGGAGCCAATGCTTGTACCGGCCAAACCGAAGGAGGTTGATATCCCCTTTCATCTTTCTCAACGTCCCCCACTTCCAAAAGCATCCTCTAATGTATCTTACCCACAGGGGATGCCGACGCCGTCTTCCTCCTGCAAAGCGGCGCTACCTTGAGAAATGTCATCATTGGCAAGGGTCAAGCTGAAGGAGTCCACTGTAACGGCCCTTGTAACCTCGAATTCGTCTGGTTTGAAGACGTCTGCGAGGACGCCATCACCATTAGAGGCGACAAGTCTGGACAAATGACCAACATCGTTGGTGGGGGCGCGTATAAAGCTGGCGATAAAGTGGTGCAGCATAATGGCTGTGGAACGGTGAATATCATTAACTTCTATGTCAATGATTATGGCAAGCTTTATCGATCTTGTGGGAATGTAAGTCTCACGCCGTTCTAGTGATGTTTAGGAGGGGAAAAGTATAAGGGCTAACTTTGTCGATAGTGCTCTTCCCAATGTAAGAGGAATGTTTACATCGAGGGTGTTACTGCTGTTAATGGTGGGGAGCTGGCTGGTATCAACTCCAATTATGGGGATACTGCTACGCTCAGGAATGTCTGTTACGATACTTCTCATCCCTGTCAGATGTATACAGGTTGTGCTGGTGGTTGTGAGCCAAAGAAGGCTGGATACTGCAGTGGATAAGTCTTCTTGGCTACCTTTTTCAAGACATGTTAAGATCGTGAAGCGATGGTTGTATATATGGGTTTCTCTTTTCTAGGCTCGGATCTGTCGACTTTGACTCCCGTCGTTTCGTTATTTTGTAGATAGTTGTGTGGTTTGGGGATTACATTCTTTGTATATGTTGATGATTGATAATCAAATATCCTTGATAAACACTCGCGAGAATTGGATTAACGAGACAAGAACGATTTCGGGGTGAATTTCCTGGCTCTAGGCGGTATGTACCAAATTGACTTCGTTCGAGCATTATACGGCATTTGACCTGGGACAATTCTGAGTGATTTCAACACTGACTTCTAGTGTACTGATCCTTCCTGTTATTAATCAATTTGCTGTGAGCCAACAGCTTGTTTGTTGACTACAAAGTTTTCGGGTGGTGGATAACTCTCGGGCGAACTTTGTGGTGGTAGGAGGGGTAAGAGAAGATGGAATTTTCAGAGGGAATGAAGCGCTTTCCTGGAGGTACTCCAAATGTAGATGAAACAGCGTATATGATTAGACTCGCCTATTTGGGGGCTTTGCATTGGAATATTGAAAATTACGCTTATTCAATTTCTGCCAGTCGCTATTGCGGTCGTTGATTAGCAACCGGGGAAGCGGTGCTTGTCAGAAGGTTGGTCAATCGATGACTGTTGGATTGTCGACATTTACTTCCGATCATTATCTGATCTATGAGCTGCTTTACGAGAGTATTTGGAGCTCTTTTACCGACAGATGCTCTAGAAGGTAATGGCATCGTGGGTCACCTTTTCATTCCTCAACAACTGTGAATTGAAGGTTCTTTGGCGTGAAATCAGTGGGCTTGGCGGTATAATCATCTCATACTGTTCCAGTTTGATTTCAGGTTTTCTAAGTAATAACAAAAATGTAATGTTAGAATTGAAAAAATATATGAAACTTGAATACTGGAGTTTCTCACATGCTTGAAATCGTCAACACGTGCAGGTGCAGGTGACCTCGGACCAAAACGTGACGTTTACTACCGAGGTAGTCACATATTGTACTGTATAAGTGAGCAAAACCAAGTTGCATGAGGGGGTTCACTGTCCTTAAAATGAATATATAACCTTGCAAAGAATGTACATTAGTACCCTTCAAGATCACAACCTTCAAGTGTTCCAAGTGCTTGGCAAAAACCCAAAGGTCACGGGCGGCGAATTCCAACCTTGCATCATACACGTGATTGTGTGGCCACTTTAGTTAAATCTTGGGTAGATAGTTCTCTCCCCAACTTATCACCACCAAAACAAAGCCAACATGAGCGACTCAACGTCACTCCCAATCGCATTCGCGCCCCCGCCGTGGACACTCAAAGCTACACTCTACTCATTCCTCATCTACGTAACCCCCCAAGAAGCTCTTGAGTTGTCTGAGAACCAATTCATATATGCTCCTTTGGAAGCCAAGTCCAGTGGAGCCGAGGACAAATTCCTGGGTGGTCTTGCAACCGTGCAAATATTTCGATATTCCGAGAGTCCCGCGGGGCCTTATGATGAACTTCTTATTGTCCCGGGGAAGTTTGAGTATGATTTTGATGTCGAGGGAAAAGGGACGGAGAAGAGGACGAACTTGAGGGTTTCAAGAATTTATGTTAGTCAGGAGAAAACCTGTTGGAATGGGCGGAAGAGTGAGTTTTCTTTTTTATATTAAGACATCTTGCAAGAGGGAATTATGAAATACTAATCGAAACTAATAGATTGGAATATTCCCAAACATCTGGCTCATTTCAAGTTCCAAGATCTCCCCAACGGCGCCACAAAGATTTCAGTTTACCCCCTGGAGCTGGATACTGCTGGAATAGAATCCAGGATACCCGCCCTCCCTTTCTTCTCAGCAATCTACAAGGACACGCCCTACTTCCCCAGTTTTCCCTCTTCGACCGAGACAGCCAAGTACTTCGGTCTCGACCTGAATCTTGTGCAACCTCCTCTCCCAGAAGGAAAAGGGGCTTTAGGTGAACTTCCCGGTACTGGTCAATGGTGTAAACTCTTGCCTGTGATTACATCCCCAAAGATATCGATAGGATGGTGGGATATGAAGAGTGGAGATGCTCACCAAGAGGATTCTCTACTTGAGAGAGAAGGTAACGAGGCGACGAGTGCGGGCTTTGAGAATTGGTGGCCCGGGATTGGAAGATGGAGGTTTGGAATGAAGATGGAAGATGCGACTATTTTGTTTGGGGTGCCTGAGACGTGGGAGAGAAAGAATGGGACACATACTGAATAGTATTGAACGGATTCGTGGGGCTCTTGCGTGTTGAGTGTGATTTGCATGTGGCCTGGCTGTCTAAGATGTTTATGAACTAGAGTATGCAAGAAATTATTCCCTACAACAGGCCTTTATCAGCGTTCATATTCATCAAGTTACGTTACTTCTGAACTAAAGCAGGATCCGTAATGTTCTGTATTTGAAGCCCAGTTTCAGACAATCCAAGCTCTGCTCATCAAAAGTGTCTTGCCCACAATGAAGTCGACCTCGGGACTAGTGACATATCAGAGAACAAGAAGGAATAACTATTTGCACGTGATTTCCGCGCATCATCAGCAGGCAATTATATCAAAATACTATTCCAGTTCAAATTACGGGTTGTTGAGAGGGTTTCACCCTCGTCATTTGATACCGGAGACCACACTTCGATTCCACAACACGTCTACGGCGGTGTCATGGGCTTTGTTTTGACTACTGTGAGAAAGTTTCTAGTAGCCTTGATAGAAAACTCCAGTAGGCATTTAAATATATACATTGGCGGTCGTTGACCTCCATTAGTTCAGTATTTTGCTAATGAAGTCTCTAGCTCTGATTCCTCATTGTAGTATAGTTCAAATGTCTTTCGCTTGGCAAAGGGACCAACCATCTTTTCGCCAACTTCTTTATTTATTTATTTATTTATTTATTACTATTTAACGTCAGGCGGAATCTAACTCGCGTGGGCTAGGTCCTAAAAGTCCCATTGTTGGGCAAATGACGCTAGGGGGGTGCCCTAGGCTACAGGGGGTGTAAATGAAAGTGCGCTAATTTACAAGAGATAGTTTAAAGAGAAGCCCCACTTCCGGAACAGCTCTCATTCTGAGTTAGTTTAAGAGCCAGAGTAAAAATAAGTTAACAGTGTACAAGATAGTGAGTAGAGAACAAGAGAAGAACTATATAAGACAGAGACCAAAGAACAGTAGAAAGAGGAGATATAGTGTAAGGAAGAAGAGGACTATCTAGGAGGACAGATCCTAGAGTAGAACTTTGTCTTATAGTAGATCTTGTGAAACAGTTCCTCGCATTGTGGTCCGAAGAGGAGTTGAGGGTTCCTCTGAGCCTTTGCAAATAGCTCAGGGGCTACTCTATTTGCTAGCCGGCAAAATAGTAGGTGAAATTGAGTCTTTTCTCTTCCACACTTACACTCCCCTGAAGTAAGTAGCGTGTCGAGGTGAAAGAAGCGAAGGTGATAAAGAGTAAAGTCACCGTGGCCAGAGCGAGCTGCAATTAAGCGAGCAAGAACCTCCCTTGGTAAGCGAAGTGATTGAGGCTTCGAAGACCAGTTGTTAAGCCCTAGGTCCTTGTATAAGCTTGGAAGCGTGGTTTTCCAGAGTTTCTTTGCAAGCTGAACCCCTGTCTCTTTAACTTCTCTTCTAAGTGTAGCAGTGCAGAGTATAGAAGGGGGGTCAGGAGGAGGTAGCCGAGCGCCTCTTCCCGCAGCTCTGTCCGCAATCTCATTCCCTTGAATTCCAATGTGACTAGGGCACCACCTGGTTTGAACTTTCCCAGGGTATAAAAGAGCTAACTCGTTAACCCTATTAAAGGTCCCTTGCGAGGTGCCACAGGACCGGTAGGTCAGTTGAAGTGTAGCCTTTTCGCCAACTTCGTTCTCTTTGGCCGTCTTTCACAAGCGGATAGCGTTAGGTTAGTTCTAACGGATCTCGTCGTTATACATCCAGTCTATGCATAATGATTTGTGTATTGAAGGTCTCAAGGCCCATCCGCGCTGTAGGCACCCGGCCATAAAAAGAAAACCCACTTCTTAATAGTGCATTTGCCATATATCAAGAATCCATTTGAAGTGTTTTAACTATGTCTCAATTCATCTTCGTGTAGTCCGCATTCCTCGAGATTTCAGCAAATATATGGGGTTTTGCTCCTGGCCCAAAGTCTCTAGACAAATATTGCACCTACATCCTCGGGACCAAGGCACTTCGTGATGTCAAAATATTTGTAGATATATCTTTACTCGTGTCGCCGCTGGTGTCCTCACATAACCTCCCTCGTTTGAACTGGAGAAAGATATTTCAGACGGAAGAAACGACGAGGATAACGAGTTGATTGACTTGGTGGCATCATGAGGCACACCAGAGCGAGCCCGTCATATCGCCAGAAACACAACCGAGTCAAGTTTCATGTACGATTTTCCTCAGATTTCGGGGATTTCTGAAGAAGTCTATCTGCGACATGTGAGAATCCTCCAACCAGCTTGGTTGATTTAAACAGACTTGTCAACATTGCGAACTGCAGCAAGCAACTTCAGGGCTTAAATCTTCAATTTCCTCTGCTACAGTATGAGGTTTCTGAATTGATGCTCGAAATCATTAGCATTCATGTCTTGCTTCGGTAGCTCTTGCTCCGCACCTCCCGCCCCCCTTACCTACCTGATTAGCGCCAAATCAGTATTATAAGCTCTTTTATTATCGTGAAGTGCTCACTCGTTAATCTTAGCGTAGGTTAAATACAATTCGCGTGGAAGCTTTCTAACAAAGTTACTAGAAATCGTAGCTTGAAATACTTGATCACTAAGTGTTCTAGTCTGGATTATATATACCGCACTATATTAAGTAATGAAACTTTCTAGATACCTGCCGGGTGTTCAAAGATTAGTTAATATAATAGGGAGGGCTTCTATCTAGCGTAGTAATCGTTACTAAGCTCTTTATCCATACCATATACATATATAAACATGAGATAGAAGCTACCTTAACTACTACTATGTTCTAAAAAGGCTTAATTAGACTAGCGAAAAGCAATAGGAATTCTAAGACTCTAGAAGGGGGATAGTGCGTTTATAGAGAATAAATCGGTATTTAAAGTAAAAGTTACTATTAATTATAAATTAGAAGACCGATTAGGTTTAGAGAATTAATAAGTTTATTAAATGTTGAGCTTATTTACACTTAGTTTCTTTACCTTGCTTTTATTAACTTTAGTTAATAGATTTAATTATTTGAAACAAAAGCAAGAGATTATAATTTAATAAAAACTACTTAATTTACTCTGATTTTACAATAGAGTTAATTACATGATCTTTTTGTTTTATTTAATTAGGATAATAGTATTATTCTTAGGTACTGTCGGTAAATAATTATAGTGATTAGCACCTCGTACGAGAGCCTGGTGGTTCTACATGCTTGGTGTCATGTGAGTGGCTTGCCACTCACATACTTAAGCTCGTAGAGTACCACCTCTCTACCTTTACTCTTCACGAACAAATGAATACACCGATTTAGTTACCCCAACAGAGGGTGATCAGAATCCCGTATTCGCCGTCGTCACGACCACCCTGTCGTACCAACAGGTACTTACGCGAGAGAAAAAAGAATACCTTTATAAAACTCTAAATACTATTAGTGTAAGTAGGCTATATATACCTTCTTTCTTCAAAGCTCTAGAACAATTCACTTAATTTAAATACCCTTTAGAATAATTATATAAATCACAGTTAAGATTAGACTTTTAAATTAGCGTAAGAAACTTATTTCCATTTCTATTTTTCTTTATTTTAGTACGTTAGAGTTTAACGGGGGATTTACGCGCTAATTACTTTGTATATTTCTCATGTTTTATAAAAAGGAATCGGTTTCTGCTCTCGAAATTCAATTATAGAGTTATTAAGCAGTGAAACCGTAGGCTCTACGCGGTGACCTGTGAATATAAAGCTGTTTTCAACGAAATTAACTATAGGATACTCCTGGTAAGCATCGATAAACTGTATGAAATAATGTAGAAACTTGCCGAGAAGCTTATATGCGCGTTTTACTATGGTAAACTTCATATTAAATCAATGATTGGAAGCTAAGGTACAACGTGTCTGTCGACCCCGATTCATGCTCATAATTATACGTGTAAATTAAATATATTTCAGGTTAATTGGTCCATTGTTTATTCAAGTACAAAGCGACAAAGAGGGTGAAAAAAACAAAGAAAAGCATTAAAGAAGCGGGGTTTTATATACGGGAAAACAATCAGACAAAGGAGGAGGAAGGGATAGTCTTTGTTTTAGCGAATCTACTAATCTTTAGCCGATTATAACACTGCTTTACCTGTTTTGTCCTCATTTCCATTCTCGCAGTCAATTTAGGTAGGCAGAATATTCAGAAATCAACATGGTTTCACGGTAAAAACTCCGAATTGTCCTTTTCATACACTAACAGGTATGCCTTTAATTCGAATCCCCTCTGGCCCAATGCCCCATATGCCCATTGATCCGAGAAAACTCTATAAATACGACCAAGGAAAAATAATTTCAATAACAGCAAATATGTGCTGACTTCACCACCAGCCCACGGAAAACCACTCAACCGTTCGCACACCCCATGCTGTCACAGGTCCCGCCCCCCTTTCAACCCCGCCTCTCCCGCTCGGCTCGTTGTCTATGGCGTATAGCCAGCATCCGCCGCATCATCTCCGTCTTCTCCCGTCGCTCTCTCGTCTCTTCCGGCGTTTCGAGCAGAGCGATGTTGTTCGTTTCAAGCAAATCATCGTAGGCCAAGTACCGATGGATTCTCTCGTCCAATGCCTGCATTATTGCTGCCGATTGTCTCTCACTCTCGCTCCTGGCGTTCGCGAGCCAGCACGCGCTCTCGTGTTCTTTGGCGAGCTTGGTGGTGATGGTGGAGGAAGCGAGCCAGGGCGGCCATTGCTGAGATGGAGTGATAGTAGGAGGGGCTAGGGCTGGAGGTGATAATGGCCATCAAAAGGCACAACAAGAAAACACAAATGATCTCCAAGAGCTTCATTGTGAGGACTTCGTATTAGCTTGGTGAGGGTTTAAGGGATTGGCTCAGAGAACAGTAAACAGACGAAGCCAGAGGAATTGGTATATATTTAGGAGAGTTTTGAACTTCACAAGTAGAGAAATGATCGAACAGGACAGTTCAAAGTGTTGTGATTGATGGTTGTTCGATCTTGTTTCTCCAAATCTCTTAATCAGAATCTTCTTCTCACTTCATAGATTTGTCGTTACTGAAATTAAGCGAGAAACCGATTGTCTATTGTGCCTACAGACAATAGAACACGTCTTGCACTGACGTCTAGTTTTTGTTTCTTTTCTATTATACTTCTATGTAGAAGGGCGTATGCGATGTGATTACATTATGCTCTGGCCCCTGGGTTCAGGACGAATAAGGGCGATTTCTAGGTACGCATTACAGCGAATGGTTACACAGCGGATATTTATACGCCGATGTTTATGAGTGATACACTACCAAATTCTAAACGCCAAAAAAGGTCACAATGCAATTTAAAATTAAGGCAAAGTCAGGATGAGCGGTGAATGTGATTGTATTGGTATTAGTCCATCCACCCCAAATATCATCTAGTCTTTATCGCTGATGTTCTATCCTTTGCCTAGTAGCCATAAGAGCCTGAAAGCTCCACACGAGCCTAGAAGATGCCTCTACTATCACCCCCACGAACCATGAGAAAGCTTCCTGTGAAGAATGAAAGACAAAACCAAGAGTTGAATAAAGACATAAGAAAGTATGGGGGGTCATTTCTGCCATTAGCAACGGAGATACCAATAGGCAAAAATGTCCCAGAAAAGAAAAACAAAGGCCACAATTATCAAGACACCATTTCCAATTGTCCAGTATGTCGAGCTGCAAGGACAACCACCAGTTGCTCCCTCCTTGATGTGACATCTAAGAGGTCCGTTTCAGATGGGATGGAAGCTGACATTGTAAGGTGCTGTGGTTGTAGGGGAGGGAACCAGACTTGTGGGGGTCACCGTAGCAGAGGAAGTGAATGTACCAGGTCGAATCTGTGTTTGAAAACCGGAGATAGCCGACGTATCGTTAGGCAACTGGCGACAGCCAACTGCAATGTTGTGCAGCTTGAGTGAATTGGAGGTTGGCTGCGAACTGTCTGTAGAGAGAATCACTTGCGGGACAGAAACAGCTCTTGCAACGATGGTAGTGGTACTGCTTGCATTGACAGCTTCGGGCGCGGCTGTGGTACTGCTGGCTAAGCTGTAAGTCGTAGTAGTCCAATACGTATTGGTGACAGTAGATCCAGGAATCGTGGCAGTACACAAAGGAGATGGAGCAGAGAACGTGGTGTGGTTTGCGAATTCAGTGCCATTGAGGGAATAATTTGGCTTGTTAAGAGCTTTCATTCCGCCTGTCGTATAGAAGAGGACAAGGAGGCCCAGAACAAGAAGGATAGGGAGCCAGATCGGAAGTAGTACAATGATCATGCGGCGAGGTTTCATACATACCCTTCTCCATGAAGAACGCGTCAGAATCAGCGTTTTTGTTCCATTGACAAAGTTGTACTTTTGGCGCAGATGTAGAAGACGATCCTGATCGCGCTCAAAGGTCGGTTGATCACTTTGAGCGCAGTCGGTCACCGACAGACAGCGCGAAGATCGTGAGGGGGGGGGGATTGCTTGAATGACTTACACCTTGATCTGAGGGCTGACCCCTGGTGTCTGATAACACCTAAGCATGTTTGGAACTGGAAGGGAGTTGTTTGTGGAAGATTGACTTGTAGATGCGCGCACAAGGTCGTCACGATCCTCCTTCAATTGTGATATTGAAGGGCCGCAAATGTTCTTGAAGACCAAATTGTCTTGTGGAGGGGAGAGGAGGTAGCGATTTACATACTTGTACATTGTGGGCGACAGGGATTAGGGAATATCGGAATATCGCGCTAGTGGTGAGAAGGTCAACTGATATACCGAGGCCGGCCGGTGCCCTATAAATAAGCGTTAGCTTGTTTGAGGCTCTTACCAACTATTGGTTATTGAACGCCAATTGAGTCTTTTATTTGACGTAGCAATCGAATGATTAAAGAGGGGTAAGAGCGTAATAGGTAAGAGCACAATACAATGTGAGGGCAAGCTTACTAGTGTAGCAGAGAGGTAGGAGGTCCAGTCGCCCCCAATCCCAAAGCTGAGGTTGTCATAAACTAGTTTTCAGTACTGCTCCACCCTGGTTGACTAGCATAGGTCTATTTGTCTCTGAGCTGGTCCGAGATGCTTCAAGGGTAACAAGGTGATGTGGTAAGGCCGTTGTTGAACTTGGGAGTTTGGTTGATGTTGAAATCAAGGTTTTTGTTGTCGCAGATACACTTTCGTCTATCGCGACCTTGTGAGCAGTCACAAAGAATATAGTCAACATGATAAAGAGGCAAAGTAGGGTAAGGAGGGCGAACAGTGAAGTCCAGAAACGGAATTTAGCGTTCCTTGTAGGATACCTCATATTCCATATCCTGATCATCTCTTGTTTCCTGTGCCGAAAACTCTGAGCAAGTACCTGCAAGCGCGTCGGTGGAGGTGGAGGAGGTGGCACAATTGGCTCATGATTACACGCGCCTGTGTTATTGATGGTATTGCCAGTGTTTGCAATGTCCGTGTGACTGACACTTGTGGTGTTGATAGTATTCATTTCAATGTCCATGTTGACCTCTGGTGAATTTCGATCTGGCGGGGTTTGATCTGGCGGGCTTTGATCTTGGAGAGTAGATGCTTGATGTACCGTATGGAAAGTTGGCTTGTGAACGGGGAGGAAGAAGTTGCTGACTTTTGTGAGATCAATATATCAGAGGACTGGAGGCTGATGAAAAAAAGTCTGGAGGTCAAGTAGAAAGAAAGATTTTGATGGTGCGTGTTTTGTTGTTGTGATGTGGAGTTCTCCACTTTTAGCCGACAAAATCGCGAAGTCGCACCTGTGAGTCTTCCCTTTGAACAAGAAGTCATCAAAGCTATCCCTTAGGTTACGGTAACTTGTTCAATTATTGTCTGCTCAACAGTGCATGCTGGCGTCTGATTTGCATACACAAAATAAACAACAATATCATTATAATAGCAGGTGTTATAATGCGAAAAGTTATCATATACAGTACCATTACGCTTTTTATGGATCACTGAATCTAAAGATATTGTCTTTATTCAGCAATACCACTTATTTTCAAGCGTCACAATGCAAAAACATTCATAAAAGCCCCTTCTGTTTTTTATGTTACTTCCCTCCTTTTTTTCTTCGCTTAGCATGACTTAACCACAATCAATGCTTCGCCTGGAATCTGATTCTGTTAATTGGCGCTGATATTATGACCGGCTTGTGTGAATTAGACTCTGCTAATTAGCAGACTACACGAGGCTAAAACACCTAAGAAAAGCCGTAAAGTATTGTAGTATATCACGTGACACATAGCACTATCTAGCTTGAACTATTTTTTAACATTTACCCCATATTACACGATATATAATGTTGTGCTGGGTCTACTTTCTCTTTTGCTCCACTTCCTGATTTGATCCACTTATAGCTCTGCTGCCTAAATGCTTCATGTCTGCATAAAACTAACACTCTTTATATAAACACCTTAGATAGCTACCTTTTACAATGCAATCAATTCTCCATGACCTTCAGTACCCAATACCCTTTCAACCCAATATATAAATACAATTATTTTAAGGTGACTAGTGAAATTGAGAAACATTTGTATTGCGGGAACGACAGTTATAGCATTTCCTTGCGTCAGTAAACAAAGATGAGAATACTTCTTTGCTCTAACTCAGCCCCTGTTCACATACCTTTTTAAAAGTAAGAATGCATAATGCATTATCAGCCAAGAGTAAGCTTCCGGTGCTCTCGCAATTTGATTACTACTTAACACGCTACTTCTGAAAAAGAGATCCATATTTTCGGTGCTCATGCTCATATCTACTTGATCTGGCACTTACGAATCTGAAATGATGGAATACAATGCTGGCTCCCTATCCAAAACACCCCGCCAGAGAGATGTAGAGGGAGTATGGCTGAATGCATCATGCAACGGAAAGGAAACAAAGCTCAAAAACAACACAGTCATCTTGACTGAGCAACGCAGCCTTTTCTCAACCTTAAAATCCAGTCTGCGAACGCGATATGTGAAGGCCAAAACTCAAAACAGGATATGGCGATCCTTGGATCTCTCCAACTCAGTCTACCCAAAACAGCTGACTCAGATGATCCACTTTCCAACGTAGCAACAAGGTGTAGAGTATCATGTAGATCCCATATGGGATACGGTAAGAGAAAGACCTAATTGCAGGGGCACATGGATGCGAAAGGCAAGAGCCTGATGGGGTATCAGCATCCCCGCTTTGTCTATGGTACCGGAGGAAGACATGGTAGGTTCCATACCCTGCGAGCAAGGGCGGGACTTGCTCCGAGGGTGAGACTGGAGCGATTAGGTTGGTTCTTACAGAGGGCAAAATATCGGTTTCGAGGTTGCGGAGCATGGTGCTTGATGCCTCTTTCACGTAAAGATTTATGCACGGAGTTCTAGATGTGTTTATAGGTTTGGATTATCGAAGAGCTTGGATGACCTGTGGCGAATCTTTGTGTGGGAGGGGTGAGGTTCTGGTAATGTTGGCGCGAATCAAGTACAAGTACAACGTGTAGGTGTATTAGATATACAGCAGTATATCGAGTTTATTTCTTGCAGTCATCATTTTCAGGGTGGTTTGGCCAAGAAGAATTCGTTCCAACGCAACGGTATAGTGATATATGCGTGCTAACCTTCCTTATTCTGCCCATTGTGTTCGAAAACAAACGAGCATTGGGAAGTCTCCCATACCACGATTTTGAGGCGTTAGGGGAAGCTTTCCTTGATTCGGTTCATATTACACGCATATCTCTCTCTGCAACAAGGGCAACTCGAAGCACTCCCAAAGGCTTCGAGGGGCAAAATTGAAAGGATCGTCGATCAACCACTATGAAAGTAGAACTGGCTGCGCCATGTCAGCACAAAAGGCACGGTAGCATACTTTGTTATCTTGCAGGTGATTGGCAAAAATTCCCTATTGAGCATGGAAATCTTGGGTATATATTTTCAGCAGTGTTAGCATTACGGTGGCGGGGAGCATAGTTGCAGTTTCCGACTGGAAACACATCATACCATGGACCTGGGAGCTCATTCTGACATCGCCCCATCACAGAAGTCATAATGTACACCTCGCCCATGCAGAACATAAAGTTTCGACAGTCAACGGTCCAATTTCCATATCAGGGCGAGGAAAGGTGACAACTGAAATTCGATGCAGTTCCAGGTCGTACTCGCTTACCGAAGTCACGGATACAGGCCCTCTTTCCAACATCCCAACATCATAACTCGTTTTCTCCGGGCAATTGGTGAAATCATACTGGTAGAAGTTGAACTCTGTTGTAATTTACGTGAACCAAAAGGATCAGCTTCGGAAGTACACCTTCCTGGTTTCTGTAAGTCTGATTAGCCAGTACAACCCGTATAGTCGGGTTTCTTGGCATAAATTGGGAATTTCAGTTATTGTTAGCTACGCCGCTATCAGGGACCTTCCGTATTTCCGGAAATCTATGTAGATAGCGCGCCTGTAGCTGGTCAAATTGACCTCTCGTCAAGACACCGGCAAGGCCTAATCCCATGACTCTCGTCTTTGAGAGAACATCGTAACTATGACAGCAGCCACACTTGCAGCGCCAAGACTACCAGGATGAAGCCGCCCGCCAAAAGCATTTTCTAGGTAGGGCTGCACATGAAATAGTGCGGCAGATTAGGGTAAGGATGCTTGAAGAGAATGCTTATGGAGCCCCGTATGATCCAATGGAAGGATACATTGGGACCCGATGGCTTGGAACCGGTGCGGAGATACCGTTCCTTGCGACGCTACAATAGTGGGGGCGGGTAATGTAATGAAACGCTCCTCTTTTGTTGGACAAACAACCTCTTCTTATCGCATGACAACTCGTGGAAACTGATAGAAAGTTTTGATGTCAGGGGGGAGAACGATACCTTTTGGGGGCCATTCAAAATCAACGATTTGGTATCTTTACTTGTTGTCCAGCTAATTGCGCTTTCTTACCACTCTCTGGTTTGCCTGCAAGGGGCAGATATATCTGTAGTACGACACACCCTACCAAAACTCAATTTCAAGCCTTGATCATGCTGGTAAGATTCACAAAGAAGCAACAGTTTGGCAGAGGAGTTGAATTCATTATGTAGTCTCTATCTTTATGAAGGAAGCAAGCCTCAGTCAACCAAAGCAAGCATATCTATCTAAAGGTCCATAGATACTACCAATGCAAGAACCAAACTGACTAGTGTAAGCACCTTTGAATAGAGGAAAGACTTTGAATAACAACGCCGCACTGTGAGAAAGTTCCAGTTACAAAGGCGACAGCCCATCAAATTGAAACAAGTCTTTCGAAGGAGTTCCAAGCGTGACATCCCCGCAAAGAAAGCTGTAACTCCAGTAAGACGCAATCGCCAATTCCAAACCATTGGTAGTAGAAATGCAAGCAAAACACCACCCATTTGTACAAGCAAAAGTCCTACTTGAAGAAGTCCCTATGAAACGGAATCCATACGACTAATTCTCAGCTTTCTTCTTCTCAAGTTTGTTCCAGCGATCGTTGGTAACGTTCCACTGGCCACTAGAGCCTTCTTGAGTCTTTACCAAAGCAGCGTACTCATCCTCCCAGAAGAACTTATCGTCATCAAAGGCGTATAGACCATTATCACCATCAAGCCAGGTGGCAGTCTCAGAATACTCAGCGTGGAAGGTTCTGCCAACCCATGCTGGGTGGCGTGCCTGGATGAATGTGCACAAGAATGATTTGCGGCCGTCCTTATGCTCAACAATATCAAGAATCTGAACCTTTCCTGGCTTGGCGGACATTGAGGGACCCTGTGCACCACGTGCTAGACCAGAGACGCAAGATCGAGTTTCATTATAAATCTTGAAAACCTTTGCCAATGGAAGCTCAAAAAACTCCTTTGCGCCAGTATCGCGTTCAACAAACCTGCAAAAGGTAAAATTAGAGAGCACTCATAGGAATGCGAGGAAGTGCTGTACTTACATGTAGTATGGGATCATACCAAGCTTGACCTCCTTCTTCCACATCTCCGTCCAGATATCTGCGCTGTCATTAATACCTCGTACAATTGGGCTCTGGCAGCGGATTACGGCACCAGTCTCCTTGATAGCTTTGATAGCCTCTTGTACCTCTGGTGTGTCAAGCTCACGGGGATGTGTGAAATGGGCCTGGATCGAAAGATTCTTTCCAGAGTTGACAACATCACGGAACATTTGTAATGTCGCCTTTGCGTCCTTGTCAGTTGTGAATTTTCGTGGCCAGTAAGCTAGCGACTTGGTCCCAATTCGAATTGTATCAAGGTGTGCAGTGTGGGGGTTGTGAAGCAAAGGACCAAGATAATTTCTAAAGGTCTTAGCTGTCATGACCATTGGATCCCCTCCAGTGAATAGTAGATCGGTGATTTGCTTGTGTTTTGAAATGTAGTCCAACAGATTTAGCCAACTGGCAGACTTGAATTGCTTGCTAGGTCCACCGACATCAGTAAACTGTTGCCATCTAAAACAATAAGTACACCATGCATGGCAAGTTTGCGCCTATTAGAGACCAATAAAGTTAGCAAATGCTGTATTTGGGAGAAGTTAGTAGTAATACGAACCTCGCTGGGAAACCAAAGTGCTGTCTCTCTATACTTGTGCTGGAGCCCCTGTACCTCACAACCATCAAGCTTTGGCTTGTTTTCAACTTGACCAGCTGGGTGTGCATTCAGATACTCCTGTTGGTATTTTTGAACAGCATCTCTAAGTCGCTGTGAGGCTAGGACTTTCTCATTTCTAGTTGCTGCACTAGACTTCAGAAGCAGTAACGCCATCACCTCCTCTAGCATAGCTGGACTGAGCATTCCTGGTGAAGGAATGACAAGCTTGAAATATGGATCCTCTACACCATTGGCCCTGTTCTGGTGTAAGCTTAGATTTGCAGATAGATAAAGAGACTGTGGTTACCAATTGATGTGATTCTCAAGTACGTAATTGTTTACGCGGGTTGGAAAAACTTCAGCGGCAGCCCGGTAAGGCAAAGGGTCGACACCAGGAAGATATAAGGCAAAGATTTCAGGGATTTGGTTTTTGTTGACTTGCTTGTAGGGAAAGTCCTCGCCGCCCATAGTCTTGGACTTATGGCTACTGTTGATAGTGTCTGTCGGAGCCTTACTCTTTGTGAGTAGATCGACGTGACTGTGATCATGGCTGAGGAAGGATGCAGGTTCAAACTGTGAAGCCTGTGAAGCTGATCGCTCAGTTGACTTGGTTCCGACGCGATGTTGTCCAGGAGTATTTGAGGAAAGCGAAGGTCGTGAAGACTGTGAAGAAATTGCTGGCTTAGCAGATGTTGACAATGGCCGGTCTGACACCTTCATAAGGATGACATCAGGAATTGCACCAGGAGTGCGAGAGCCATAGCGGAGCAACTTAGGATTAACTCCCAATTGCTTCGCAACCTGTAAGAGTACTGACATTGTGGTACTGTTGGTGCTCTGAAAAGCTACCAGTTATGAGGTGAGAATTTTTGGGTTGAAGAGGAGAGAAAAAAGATAAATCAGTAGAAAGAAAGGTGGGTCGTGGCCGCTAAGTTGACGCTAAGTTGACGCTAGTGGGCTAAGCGAGGAGTTGGAGGCAGTTCAAGTTTGAAGCCAAATTGTGAGTCACAAAGGCAGAGGTTAAGGTGAGGACAAAGTAAGTCTTTATACCTGAAGACTATGTCAATTGAGCTCTTTCAGCTGTTGCTTCAACAAGCTGATGAATTAGTCCAGCCAGTTGGGACTTTATGGTCAATATCTGTCGCTTTTACATACATATGACGAGTCAATATGCGCCTTGGTAACATTGTTGGAATAGTCTTACACATTGTTGGCAGATGCATCTTTACAGATTGAGATGACTAGGGAACTGGTATTTCAGGGGGGTTGCCCACACCCACGTGATATGGAATTTTTTGCGCCGTTGCACCATGAAATTTTGATAGATCTTCAATGGTGGTTCCCTGACGGATTCTATCATTCGTGTCACCGGAGCGTGTCTGGCGAGGGATGTATTCTAGTGTCGAAGACTTGGGCCAACAGGCATCTTGATCCCAGAGAAATCCATGGTCGTTACAGAATTTGACTTAGCAGTTGTAACTTGATAGGCTACTTAGAGGGTCCTAGCATGGTCTCACTGCAGCGGTACAACCACATGAAAGCACTAGATGACATGTCGCATCAGCTTTCCAGATAATTATACCGACCTGATCTTGGCGGTATAAAGGAAATTGTGGAGAATTTTGGGGAGAAATGTGGCAATGCAAAGGTGTTGCATGAGCACAATGTTGGTGTTGTTATTGTACGATTGAGGCTCCTTTGTAGACCCACTTCCACTTTGGGAAGTATTGATCAATTTGGTTTAGGGCTGACCACAACATACCAGTATTTACTGAAAGAGGCATTCGAGGAGGTCTCTTGATTCTGGTGTACTTCCGCAAGTTTTGCATCATAGGGCCATAGCTTATTTCCCCAAGGGACCGGCGCGACATTGCGGAAGATCGATCTGTGAGCAGCTTTTGGTGGGTAGGATTGGACTTGGAGGACAAGCGAGGAGTACGCGAAGCTAGATAATCTTAGCTATGAACTCTCTGGGTGAATTTGAAACAAGCGCAGTCGAGCATAAAAAATAAGAATACAAATACACGGTTAGTACTTGCAGTTGAGTACTTGGACCCTCCAAAGCTGACTCATCTCAACATGTGTGTATGTTGTCATCAGGGTACATTAACAGTCCAGGTGACATGACAATTGAAAAATCGCTGAAGAAATTGCGATAATATGCCGGCTAATCGTACTTTGTGATAACTCGACATCGAGAAAACCGTCAGATAATGCTTTTACCTCACCGCACTATGCCACGACCGAGCAAGTCGAGCTCACCCCAATATTAGGCATTTCGAATTTTCTTTCGCTATGTTCGTAGCTAGTACAGTACAGAACCTTTCTCGTCGTATAGCCAAAAGGATCAATAGTTTCGCGAGAATACAAAAATTTGACTTGCCGTGGGATGAAGTATCGACATCCGCTACCTAGAATATCGACAATACCTATTCTTTCTATTTTTCCGGCTTCTTTGAGCTGACTACGTACTGGACCTCCTCTAATGAAGGCAATTCTAGAGCAACGATATTGCTACCAATACGGCAAACTACCTGCAATTCAAAAAGGGTTTCACCAAAGTCGTGAGGGTTCAAGGCGTCTCCTTCAGCAGATGGAGAGGGGTGTCGGTATTTCAAAGAAAACGCCACGCAAAAGAAAATCCAGAAAGCCTGGGCAAATAGTCAACATAAGACACTTCGAATGAAGATAAAAACATTAAAACAGATGCACCTTCACTTCACATGTCATGATTCAGCTCTCAGATGAAGTTGACGTTATGAAAAAGCAAAAGTTAATTTCCCCTCGTACACCAGGTGGGGGCCACGCTGAATATGACTGACACAGTATCCCAGTACCCCTCATTATTCCAATTATTTTGCCTTAATTCCAAAAATAACGTTTGTGGCATCTAATTCATGCCGTCCGATCAACCCCAAATGAACAAATACTCATAATAGCTTCCTACAAACAATAGTTGAACAACGCAAAGAAAACACTGCAATCGAGAGATACCATTTTCGATATTCCCGGGTAATACAGTATGGATAAAAATGCGTCTTGGCTCGAAGGGATTTCACCGAATAGAGGACGCAGAAGTCGCTATTGCACGATTACTCCGTGCCAATAAAGAGAGCTAAGAGAGATTTTCAAAGGAAGTCCACTACCCTTTCAATGTCTTCATAGTAGTGGTGGGCTTTTATATATCTATCATGGACAAATTGGAGTATTCAGAGCTCTCGGAGGTTGGAGGACGAGCTGCCGCGACTTCACAGAAATAGTTAAGATGTACTGTACATTATCACGCATGCGCTATGGTTTTGGTCGAAAGCTCATACATTCTGATTGGACAGAAAGAAATGGCCCCCCAGTTAAGCCAATATAGAGAAGTCTACTGTATTATCTCATACTAAACTACAGGAAACAGATTCATGCAAGTTCAGACCGACTCTAAAATGAGTTGCTTCCCCACGGACCCCGTACCAGAAATCTTCCAGATTAGAATCCCCTTCTCCCTTTCAAGTCAGGCTCAAAGTCTTCTTACCAATTTCGGCTCTCACAGCAGCTCCGAAATCTCCCACTTGCCAATTTCTCAATGGCGCCTCTTGACCAGTCAGCTCCTCCAACCTCCTCCCTCCCTCTGATGTCCCCAGATCAATCCACTCAACCCACGGCGTGACTTGTGTTTCCTCTATTTGAAACCAAAATACATCAGGCCCCTCCTGAGTCTTAAAGGGATCTGCCATCAAAACACGCCCCTGGTATTCGTCTTTATAACATAAAACACAGGGGTTGGATCCTCCAACTAGACAATCACAGTTCCGCTTCAGCGCATGGAGAATCATCTGCTGGTCCTTGAAATCAATCTCCTCTTCTGTCATAGACAAACGCCATCGATAGAACTGTTCCGAGTCCATTAGTACAAGTTCGCATCTCTCCGTGCTCCCGTGGTCGCTAGTTTCAATGCTCCAATCAAACCGATTATTTGCTTCCTCCTTTCGCTTCCGATAAGTGTACATTGGAGTTTTGCTTTCGATATTATATGCTTCCAGCATATGCCATGTGCTTTCATCCGGCATATGGGGCGCATTGGTGTTGAGATGCGATTCTTTGACTTGCCCGTTTCGATAGTACTGCACATCGACGCAGAGTTCTCGGCGCTTGGCAAAGTTGAAGCAGATCTTCTGCCATCGAAGTCGGTCCTCAGGTGTGCACGCCACTAGAATACGATTTTTGGTATGAAATCCTGCAGACTGGATGAAGCGAACTACATTACGAGGTCGATCTGCAATAGGACTGCTGTGTAGCGTATATTGTGGTCGAGTGTTATCGTTCTCGATTTGAGAGGGAGCAATTCCCATTTTGATGACTCGCTCAAGGTCCACGTATTGACACCAATTCGCAAAGTAGATGAAGGTTTGATAAATTCGACACTTTGGAAAAATTGCTGCGGCATCCCCTCTGTGCAACCCACTTCTTAATAGCTGCTTCACACAGTCAAGGCGTTCTTCCATACTCCAAGCCACTTTGTTCTGAATCACAACTTAAGAGTGAATGAAATTTGGCAATTCATCCATCCTATATTTACACAACACAGGTGTTGCATTTCATCTTGCTCCCACACTACCACAATCCAAGCAGGGCAAGCTACTTCGTAGGAGTGAAGCAACCATTCTAAGGTCGGGATTTGCTTGGGGAAAGTTTCATGATACTTACAGCCCATGGAGATAGTAATAATTCCCTTCAAAATCCTACTCGAATATGATGTAACACTCAAATCTATCTGGAATTTCTTGATTTTGCTGGGTCCGTATACAGTGTTTACGATGCTCGTCAGGAGAGCAAAACGCCTCGCTTTCCAACCAATAAGGACGTTCGCCGTAACGCCACAGTCTCGGGACTACCCTTTTCATGGTCTCTCAAGCCACTTAATTGGTGCCACGCCAAAAATACTTGAAAAGTTGTCCAGCAGCCGATAATTTTTCGAAGCTTGACTCCGTGGGCAACGCCGCAAGAATAAATCACTTGGACAGTTGAAGCCATGATGCTTAGGACACCTGAAGAGCTCATCAGTGCCTTTAATCTTCCCGTTCCTCACAATTGAGATCACCCATCATACAATTCCATCATCCACCGCCTGCTTACATATCTTTTGATATCAAGGTTGGCATAAAATTCTAAGTCACCGTCTTAATCGCATGATCCTATTTCTCCGCCAACTAACTGCCGTTCGAATACCAACCTCTTCTGGAATACCTACGTTCAATACTCCTCGTTAAAGACCTACATCGAAAAAGATTGTGTCAACTTTACTAACATTCTCTACTCCTTCGCAGTGTTTGTTTCTTTTTCTTTTTGCTAATCCCGCCTCTCTATCTACAGCAATCCTGAGTACAGGAGTCTCAACACTGACATTTTCTTTGAAGATCAAAATATTTTCCGTCCACGTCCCTCTCTCCTCCTCCCTACCTCTCGGCTCACGCTGGCGAACACTCGAAAATATTTTGACAAGCATGATCCTACGTCCAGCCAACACCTGTAAGAGGTATCGGTTATATACAGAGTGTATATAAGACAGTGGAAGTAGGATGGTCAGATGACTGTTAGGTACATCGGGAATCAAAAGAGTAAGAATTTGACTTGTGAAAATGACTTGATTTTTCTAACTATAAGGACAGTAAAGGTCTATATATACTCCTTAGCGAGATTCTAGGAGGTTCTATAGATTATAAATAGAATAGAAGTGTGAGAGGCCAGACCTCGAATAGCTCAAAGGTGTGGTTTCGAATATTCAATTAAGAAGTGCGTGAAGACTACATACATGCAATCTCTTCCTCTATATATAGAGAGAGGAAGAGTTTCTGGAGTCATCCAAGAAACTGTTTGACAAATACGTGACGTCAAAAGAATAGAGTAGAAAAGTGTAGAAAAGGAGAAACCAATTTAGCAGTGGAGCAATGGCCAATGCTGAGCGGGGACTTTGGTCAGTGCTTAGCGAGGGCATGGCCCGAGACTCCATCATGGGTTCCAACCCTCACACATACTCAATTACATACGCCTACTCCTCCTTTACTTTCTCCAAACCTACTACCTTGGGTCCCTGAGACACCCCATAATACATATGAGGCAGATCAGCAAACCCAGACAATTAAAGCATCTATTAAACGACGTACAAACGTTCTCTCAAGCCCTACTGCTATTGCATTAGATCAATTGGTTAAAGGGTGTAAGATGGCTATGCAATCAGCTACGGTTTTGGCAGAGGAAAATCGACGTTTACGAGCTGAATCTGAACGTCAAAAGAAGAAGAAGACTGTGCGACGTCAATATATTGCTACTGGGGGTGTTCTTACAGGTCAGGAAGGGAGAGAACTTATTCAAAATAGTGATAATATGGTTTTGGATGAAGCTGTGGCCCCGCTAATTGAACCACGAATTCGTGCACCACGAACCTGTAGTATATGTAGATCACTAGCGCATACTGCTCCTAGGTGCCCAGATCGAGAATAAGAAAGATAGTATAGTTTATATAAATAAATATCAAGTGGTTAAAGTTTTATGGTTTTTAAAAGTTGGATGGTGGGGTAAAAAATCCGGACTGCTTATAAATCCGGACTCCTTATGAAGTACGTTATTACCTAATTAAACAACACCAATACCTCATATTTTGCGAAACACTTGCCACAAACCTGGCTTTAGTATTCTCACAAACGGACGGCAATGGAGGAGGCACAAAAGAGGACACCCGACGCTTTTCTTATACGGAATATTTCGTCACACCGCTTGCTTCTATTAACAAATAGGAAGCGGGAAAAAATAGAGGGTGATTGATTGATAATGAAAATCTGGGACTAGAAAGAGCTACAGTAAAAGGGACTCTATCCAACAGGAACTCAGGTAAAGCTGGGATAATTTTGAAGGCTTGGACTCTAGGCTACCGCTAACATCTCCAATATTATATTCTGCTGGCCATTAACGAGCAAGCCTAGGTTTTCCTCACTCGTCAGCATATCGGAAGTATCTATGTACATTCTCAATTCTTGAGTGCCATCCTGGTCCTGTTTTTCAGGCCACGAGATACGAACTGACCTCAAGTTTGACGGCAGGAGCGCAGCTGTATCACCTCCGCTGTTATGTGCATTAATCACTCCACAGAACCAGATATTGGAATCCTTCAAAGCACTTCTGCAGTCATCGAATCTCAGTCGATCCTCCTCATTGGAGAAGCGGTAACCCCTAGCCTGGTAGAGCAGGTACGGACAGATGTTTCTGTCACTTCGAAATCGCCATGTAGATTATCAGTGGGAAGAAACGAGCTAGAAGGTAATAGAAATATTTGGTGGACAGAGCAGGGTTAGAACATGTAAATATGGGGAAATAAATATGCCGATCAACGTATGATTGAGTTTGAACTCAAGTGAGGGGAGCGGCTCATGATCCTGACTTCTTGCCTTACGAGGGTCTTGAAATATTCAATAGAAATAATAAATATAATAAATAAAGTGGAACCGAATATTTTCGTCTCCTCCTTTCGAATATACGAAGAAGTGGTGTGGTGGTGACCGCCTCTTCCAAGCCTCGCACATATGTTTGATACGTAAACACCTCCTTCAACCTTCCAAAAGTAGTCTGTTGCAGCCAAAAGATCAGACCAACCAGTGGTACTTGGGCTATGATTGCTTCGTGAACATGGTTAATATCAGGGATCTGGTCCTTCCAAAGGGTGGGAATATCTGTCCAAGCGGTACGCCGGACGAGGAGTCCAAGTCCGCGTGTTCACACGCCATCAGAGATTTAGGATCCCTGAGTCTCGATCATTTGTTTCTGTTCTCCTTCTTTGTCATTTGCTCGTGCTTCCCCAGGACTTCTTTACTGTCTTGTTTGCCGTTGGCATTGTTGGTGAGTTAGGCTGTGTACAGTATTTCGACACGAGTTTTGCGCGCAAGTCAAAAATACTCTCCCTGTGGGTGGAATCAGATTTGTAGTTCCAGAACCGTCACGAACACACAAGGATATGCAGCTTATCAGTGAAGGTTCGAAGGAGAATTCTTGGATCCTAGGTATATTTATGTGTCAGCGTAGTAATCCAGTATTGATTGTGGATTCCCGCAGAATGACAGAATTGTCGGGAATCTGAGCAAAACCTCCAGGGACACTACGATTATCCTGAGAAACCTCTCATATATCCAACAAATCGTGTCTTTGAGACCTGGCGAATTGGGGAACATACCGCTGTACATGCGGTGGGAGCAAATGACTGAACTTTGCGGTCTTGAAACCATCCAACCTTTCATGACACGGGAAGCCACCAACAGTCCCCGCTTGTTTTCTCTTTCGAGGTAGTAGTCCCCTCCAAACTCGACCCGAGACATTTGGGGAGTAATCGGTACATCTCCATCAGGTATCTCTCAATCCAGTAGACTCAGGGCGCCGGGGGCAACAGCTAAACAACCTTGTCTTTCGATATTCCATCGAGATTGAATAGTGCTAGGGTGTTGCGCTATTGTCGATCATCTTTCATGGTTATGCTCCGCTGTGCTGTCAAGAATCGAAGATGAAAAAGTAAACGCCCCAGGGGTGCAGAACAGAAGTGACCGACGAATGGGGAAAGGGTGAAAGTAGAAGGTCAAATAAGAACATGGCGATTCAATGGACGATATTGGCAAGCAGAAGAGAAGGGTAGAATTATCTTTTAAATTGCGGATGAGGAAGTTTAAGGTAGTAAATGGAGAGTGCGCCGTCAACAATTGTTCTCACAGCAAGATATCGCATGCCAGAAGAGAAAAACGTATAGAACTCAGGCAACTCCAGATATCAAATCATAATAAAAGATGGGACTACTGTATGCCGAAACAAAGGGTGTTGTTCCAGCCCTCAAAGCTCCTGGGCGGCATGATATCCGTATGGTGGATCCCTAGCAGCCAACCGCATTGCATGCTGTATAAATATTTAGTGGAGTATGCCCCTTGCGTCATATAGCTTTGTCCCACATTCTGGCGAATTTGGTAAATGTCAGTGAGGGTGTGCATCTAGGACACCATTGGAAGCACCGAATGTTACTTTAAAATCAACATAAACGTCTGTTGTGGTGATTCAGGCAGATGCCCAGGAATCAAGGTGTTGGTAGTAAACCAATGAAAGCCAAAAGATTACTTGACTTGATGTGACCATTTCCACGCCACCAGCGGCTTGTTCCTCCAAAACCTATCAAATGCTAGTCTAATACCATCATGCTTCGAAATTCGTATGCGAGGCCTGGCGGCGTTCGCATAGAAACACAAGAATTCTTCAACGGCCAGATGTCCTACTACCGCTTACCAAAATTGTGATTACCTTGGTAACAAAAGTGTGTTGTTCATCTAATCATCTTGGCACAAGTAAAATATTGTGCTTGCTGCATGTCAAACGTTAGAGTAGTGTGGAGTGGTTACTCGGTGGCTTCTATCATGCTCTAGCCTTCTTATTATACTGGCAATCAATTGTGAAAGTGACATGTCTACTTACAGAGGAAGAGCTTATGGCTTACAAATGGTACATCTCATCACCAATTGGACCATATCGTGGTAGTCGTTGGCCGTAATCCTTTAGCCAAAGATGTCGTCTGTGTGCAAATTTGGAAGTGGCCAAGGCAGAAGGGTCCCATAAATCGATTGTTTCGGGCAATACGATGAAGAATTCAAGGGGATCTGAGTTCACTTTGGTGTTCGCCAATATGAGTAAGACGAAGGTGATGACAGGGAAGTCATAAGGGACGGGGCGAGCCGGAATTGATGATCCGATTTCGGTCCGGCTGATGCCGAAAGTAAAATTACCCAATTATCTTACCCTGCGAAGCTTCAGTTGGTTTCTCTTTCGCTCCAGGGCACCTACAGTATATGTTGTGTGTTCAATCTCGGTATGAGAACAGTATGAATAGTTGCCCTCAAGCTTGATGTAAAGTGAGGTAGTGAGTTAAGGCTCCAACCAATTAAACCCTTTTCACTTTTAAATAGACTTTCTAATATTTGATGCCAATACTTCACGGGACTAGTGGGTTAATATCTACCGAAAAGTAGCGGGGATAGTCAATAACCATTGCATTCACTGGTTGGATACAACAAACTTATGAGGTTCTTCTTGCAAGAACATTATAAAGGCTTGATCAAAGAAGAAGATAGTGACGAGGATTAAAAATTAAAAATTAGGAAACGTTGTAAAATTGAATGCAATATATATGCCACCACAATTTATTCCCTCCGACCCCTCCTCGGAATACTCTACTACCTAGTCCTGACCCTTCCAATTTTGGGATTCACTCACAAAAAGGATTTCCCCCATTCAAGTTTCAAAGGATTACCGGAGCTTCTAGTTTGGCTTTTAATCAAAGTGACGTAATTAAGCAAACTACTCTATACAGACAAATCTGTCTATAAGATGCGCATGACTATCTACCTTATTTACTTACAACCTATCCACACTCCTAAACAAGCACCAAACAACAACTCCACAAAATGGCCTCAACACAGACGTCGTTCTCTCAACAAGACAACAAACAGATCCCACTGTCAAGATCAACAAGCGACAGCAGTCAGGCATCTGAATCTCCTTCCCAGTCATCATCCACTTCTCCTAAAGGATTCTTCTCGTCTATCTCTTCCACAGTATCATCCAGTCTACAACCCAGATTGAAAATGGTCTCCACTTCAAATTCCAACGACTCGGCAACGCCACCAGGTCTTCTCGCTTTACTTCTCGACGACTCAGACCCCACCCACCCGAGACCTCGAGGATTCTTTATTGCGAAATAGCCAACTTTCTGCCTCGCTGGTTATCAATCGATACACCTTCCTATGAGCTTCACTTTCAGGGTAGTTGAGAAAGCTTCCAGCGAGATGATATGTAGTGGTTCTTGCAATTAGAAGTCAGAGGGCTTTTGGAGATCTTGGAGACGCACGTATTTGGTGAAAGGGTCCATCTCAGCGCGAAATTGGGCAACACACATTGAGTGAAGTGCGTTGGCATAGGCTTTGGTTTGGAGGGACAAATTTACATGGCTGAACAATTCCTTTCACCGCTGGACTGGATTTGAAGGGTTTTGAAACAAGCGATTGAGATATTTGGCCAACAAATCACCAAATTGAACACAGCCGAAACCTCAAATGCTCATATCAGATTTCTACACGATTGAAGTTCTCGTATCCATTGATCAAACGTATATTTATAAATTTTTATGCCCTTCACCATTTCTAAAACACGTCTTGGCGAAGCCCCATTTTGTCGAAGGAGTGGAAAAGGGGGAATATCACAAGGGTAATAGAACTATACTCTTTTCTCTACGAAATGGCTCTTAAAGACTGCCAATTACCGTTAAAATTGGACCCTTTGGGGAGAGGCATGTGCATTGGATAATGATCGCGGAAGCGGGCTAAAAATGATTCTTTTCTTGCCGACAAGTCAACACAATGAACGCATTTTCCCACACTTTGAAATTCTCCATTCTATCTCCACTCATTACACGGCACAGATGATCACTATATGTATTAAATAAGTGTATGTTTTGTATCTATTTTATTTAATTAATTGGAAGGGACCCTCTCTTGGACGATAGACTGACGGGTCTCTTACGACTACCCTCAGCACTAGCAGGGTTTAATTTGTAGACAGCATGTAAGGGCCGGAGCTTCTCACTAGATGATATACCAGGTTACTTTTTGGACCTCATCAAGTTTCAAGAAATCATTGTACAGGCTAGAAACAAGAGGTGCTCGCTCGATCCCAACAAAATACACATTAGATTGCCCCCTCCACATTCCGTACTTGGATTTTGAACAGCCCTAATTAGAGTCCACTTTGATCTAGATATGATGGATCGTTATTGAGGAAGCACCATATTATTGAAGACAAAGATGGAACAAGCGATTGGTTTTATAGTTCTTGAGATGATATATAGTACGCGATCAAAATTTGTGTGAGGTGATGTCTTTTGTAATGAGGGTGAATTAAGTTCTTGTTGAGAGGTTGAAGGGGAGCGAGTTTGTACCGACAGGAAAGCTCAGAATGCTTGACATGGGATCCCTGAATATGTTGGCCTGCCTTTCATTAACTGTGTTGACGCATCAACTACCCCAACAGATAGGAAGAGAATCAATCCCATTTTTTAATCTTTCAAGTGATTCTGATGCCAGTTTGGACCTAGTATCCCAATAGAGTTAAAGATATGAAAGTTTGACAGTTTCAACGTATCTGAGATGTACAAAATCACCATTTCTCTTTGATTCCTTCTTATCCTCATTGTTATTTGCAACCCTGTTGAAATCATACCCTTCCTCTGATTTGAGAAATAGATGATTCGAACTTCCAGCTGGCTGGTGAGGTTTATCTACGATTTCCATGGAAGCTCCGTCCTCCCTGGACCCCATGGTTCCAACCTGACAGGCGTCCTCATCGATAGATAAGATGATCCCTGGGTGGCCGAGTTTGAACGGATTCTTTACAATAGCTCATAGCTCAGCAGTCCTACGCAGAAAGACAATTTGACCTACCTCAAAAGGTGGTTTCTTGCGCCACGAACCTGCTGGCAGTCGTTTGCCGCTATTATAGATAGAACTACGAGCTGTATGTGGTTGATATCCATTACAGTCCGCTATATCGCTTGTTGCTGAGTTCTGAGAACCAACAGTTGATATGTGAGCTGGAACGGCACTTGTAATAAATGGTTCAGGTGTCCACGTCTCTGGGACAGGTTGTCGCATCTGGCTTCTTGGTACGTTGGAAGACATGGTGTAAATTTTATGGTATATGCTAAGTTACTTGATGTTGATTTGAGGTTAAATTGCTACGAAGTGTGCAGTTAGTGATTAATAAAGAGCCTGTGAGGGACAAAAAACGACGAAGTACACTCACAGGTAGGGACAGTCGGAACGACTAAGTACACTCGTAGGTAGGGACGGGAGGGAGTAAAAACAAAACGACTAAGTACACTCACAGGTAGGGACAGTAGAAACGATAGGTAGGCAAAGAGAGGGTGGGGGGAGGGTAGTAATATATATAATACAAGACCCCTAAAGTGAACTAAGTTACCCGTTTAATACCTTATTAATAACCGATTATATAGGGGAAGTTTTATTTTTAAAAATTATTCTTTTTATAAAAAGTTCTATTAGTTTCTAATAGTCGTCTATTTATCCCTATAGCGTTCTCTATAGGACCCTTTTTTATTAAGTATCGGACGAGTTTTCTCGATTTCGTACTTTTTCGATTTTACTAAGTACTTTTACCGGTCCGGTAACTAGGAATAGACTTTAATAAGAGTTTAGGCTTATAGATCCTACTACGTACGTACTTCCGAGTACTACTGAGTACTACCTATAATATAAGATACCTAAAGTAAACTATACTAAAACCGATATTTCGATCTTAGTTAGAAAACCGTTTAGATTAGCGATATAAACTATATTTAAAATAGCGGAATAGACTAATTAGACTAAAAGAATAAGATTACACTTACTAGAATATTTATATAAGCCTTCGCTAAGTGTTATTACAAGGGGTTTAAAAATTTTCTTAAAAAACATTAAGACTACTAAGACTTTTAGTATATGTAGGCCCTATATTTTATATAACTTTATATAAATAAAGCTAGTAAGCGCGTTTTGTTCAGCTAGTTATAGCGTATTTTTTGGTCTATTTAAGTTAATTCTAAAGTATAGTTATAATAAGTTATTAATTAATTCCTTCGAATAAACTCGACTTTTTCTGACTCTCGGATAGCCCTGGGATAAGCCTCGGACAGCTCTTATAGGAACTTCAAAAGTTACGAGTATAGTAAAATCGATATTCTAACCTTAGTACTAGAACTATTTAGTTTAATAGAGAAGCCCTAGTTTTTAATAGATAGATAAAGTAACTGAGCTATAAGAAGAAGATCGCACTTACTAGAATCCTTATATAGGCCTTGGTTAAGCTGTATTAAGAAAAATAGGGCGAGCTCAAAAAATTAAGACAAGCGCCAAGACTTAATAAATATAAGCCCTACATTTTATATAAATTATTCAAATTAAAGCTAGTAAGTGTATTTTGTTCAGCTAATCAAGGCGCATCTTTTCGTCTATTTAAATAACTCTTAAGTATTGTTGTTGTTGTAGTATTGTAGTAGATGTTACGGAGTTGGAGGAACTAGGGGTTGATCACGTGTAGCGCAGCATGTAGTATGTGTCACGTGCGCGCTGCTGGCATCCTGTATTTAAGCTCTCGTTCCTCTGGAACTCTCTTCCTTCCTCACTTTGTTGTTCGCTCAATACAGCAGTTTCCGTTTGACTCCGTATTCATCACAGCAAGCAGTGGTTCACTCCACACGGTTACAGTAGAAGTGTCGAAGTAGTCGAGAACTAGTTTTAGTATAACTTATAGATACCTTATTTATACCTACTCCCTAGTACTCCTACTAGGAGGCTAGTGTAACGAATACTCAAACTGGCTAACTAAACTTGGCTGGGTGTTCGCTGGTTGGTATGCTATGATAAGAAGAAGACTATCGGGTTGTTCACTTGGAAGTGAACTCGTTACTTGTATCAAAGATGTCAAACTAATATGATAAGATTGATAACTAAGTTGAGCACGAAGCTCCTATCTAATGGCAGACGTGCCAGTCTTATATAGAACCTTCGTGTTCCTGAATTCGACAATGTCGACTGTCGACATAGTCGATAATCGACTTCTCGCCTGGTCGAGAAGTCGACCTGCATATATCACGTGACTTGTATACAAAGAAATTCCTGGATCGCTTAACTAACCTAAGCGATCCCTTTTTTGCTATAAGAGCCATGATGTGTTTGTCCTGTCAGAACCCCGTCTGGACTAACTCCTCACGTGCTAGCACGTGATTTGTGACAGATTTCTTCGTACCTACGGTTTTAGTTCTAGCAAGTGATTCAAAAGCTGTATACACTTTATCCTTTGTTGGCATCCGTGACACCTTTAATATAACCCTTCTTATAAGTTATTCTAGTATAAAACTTATAACTCGATATTACGTTCTTAAGGTTAGATTTAAGGTCTAAAATTATATTTAGAGGGTTTACAATAACTATTTTATATTCAATACTTTTATAAGTATTTTTAATAATACTTTAATCAAAGTTATTATTTTATTAAAGTAATAGACTTAATCCTAGCTAAATATCTCTTAGCTTGCTTATTATAATATCGAAATATTATAATATTATCTTATCTAGATTCTCTCTCTTAATATATTTAAGTATATAATTATTCTATTTATCTTATAGATATCTCTTATAACCTAGGTTCTTAAAGTTATCTTATACCACTTATATAGTAGTTATAAAATTAAAGTTTTATCTAAGAATCGTATAGTAATAATAGTCTAATATAGCTCTCTTAAGTATAATTAGAAAGGTCTTTATTGTGACGGTTATGGTCACGAGGGCTGGATGTCACATGCTCGCTTAGAGAGGCGCTAGCGCGCACGACCTGTATTTAGTTCCCAGCTCTCTCGAGCTCTCCTTCTTTCCTCGTCTTTTGTCCTAAGAATAGAGTGTTAATTGTTCTGAGTTCTATGTCACGAATCACGTAAGCATGTGACAAGTGAAGACCAGGCGGCGTCCTGACAGGTCGAGCACTATCATATCTCTTATAGCAAATAG